AAAAAAAAAAAAAATAAGCACACTCCAAAACAAACAAGGAGCATTTATAATAATAAAAATAATATGGCCTACATTGCTATAAAGAGTTTGATACAATTCAATAGAATTGGATAAAGATCTATGAATCCTCCATATAGATCTAGAAGAACAAGTGAATAGGAATAGATCTAGAATCTAGACCTTGAACGAGAAATCCGCATCCGATTCCGAAGAGAGGGATTCAGTTGGGTCTAGGGGTCTAGATCTAGATCTCTAGATATCTTTGTTCTAAGTAAATAATTCACGCACCTGATAAAATGCGTTTTACCAACATTAATATTACAGCACAACCTATAATATGGTTTGACACAATAGAATTGGAATATGAATCCTCCATTGAGGTCCATAATGATCTATATAGATCTAAATCTCGATCTCGATCTCGATCTAGAGTAGAACAAGTGAGTCGGACTTGAAAGAATCCACATATTCTGAACAATCAGTAAACAAACGAAATTCAAAATGGCCGCTCGAGCAAGAAACTGAAAGTAGATAATTTAAGTCGTCGTACTTTTTCGTATTCGTATTTCTACTCAGGTTCCGACAATTATGTGCGCGTCGGCGGCAAAGTGCCGACAAAGCCGACGGGAGAAAAAGGGGTCGCTGGCACACGGCCAGGCCTCGCACTTCGAACATTGACTAACACAGGTGGGCCTAGCGATAGCATCGGCCGGTTCGCGATTGTCGGATTTCAGACGATTGTCGACAAACATGCAGGTCTAGATATATGTATTCAAACAACCTGAATTCGCATATTATATTTCAAAGAAACATAACAAAGATACACACAAGAACTCACCGAGCTGCTTGCATGACTTTTCAGTCATAGAGTTGACTTTGGTCTTGAAGCTGGACAAATTGCTCTTTATCTCATGGGTGTGGCCATTGAAAGTGTTCAGGAAGTTGGCAAAAGCTGTCTCATTGTGGGCCTCAACCGCTTTCTTCCTGTCAATTTTATCATGTAGTCCGCCAACGTCTGACACGGAGGATTCAGCAGTAGACAGCAGCTGGTTGGAGAAAAGGATATGAATAATAAATGAACTTTCGCATAATTCACTTAGATCTTGATATACTCAAAATGTTTGCAACAATCTATGTTATTTTTATTGATATCTTTGTGGACTACACAAGTTTTCTTGGAGCACCACCATACCTGTTTTTTTAGTGACATTGTAAACAATTGAAATTCTATACAATGGCAAACCATCTACGTGGCCTAATGAGCTTCAGTTAACACAGCCTGCTGAAGATAGTCTGAGATGATAACAAGATGTGACCCATTCATAAGCAAATACTAATACTGCTTCTTGTCACTGTTTCAACACCACCCAGGCCGTAACCCTTTGATTAAATGTCATGAAGCGGCATTTGCAGCTTTTCTTTACCTGCTTAACATAACAGCCTTGTGAAATAATTTATTATCAAGAACAAATTCTCAATCACTGGAACTGCTAGATAAAAAAATATAAATCTGCCTTTATATCTTAGACTTGAAAGAGAAAATTCTCAACATTTAGTAAAAATGAAATTCGAGTCACTTAAGATACAATAATAACGTGGGCAGTATTGCATACAGACGTATCTCAAAGGCCGCCAAAAATGACTACGTCTGCATGCAATGCTGCCCGCGATCTAAGAGTGAGTAGACTCTACCAACCTGCTCAGCTTGGGAGTATAGGCTGTCTTCATTCTTCACATGCTCTTCCACTAAATACTTCTGCTCATCCCGGTCCTGCTTTGTAACTTTCAGCTCTTTATCTGTCTTTTGCAGAGTTTCTGTGGTGACCTCCAAGACCTGAGTCGTAGACACAAGCTTTTCCGTTGTCACAGTCAGTTCCTCCTTAGTGTCCGTGAACAGCTCTGTCAGCTGAGGAATCCACAGTGTAATGTTTAGCAAAATAAAACATCCATTGAAACTATGCAGAAAGCCAATACGGGTAGTGTGGGATACACCGAAGCCGAAAGACAAACTAAATATAATGTATCCCTATATAGAAATTGAAATTTAGTGAATTTTTAGAGGGTTAAAAATAACATTTGGGAGCCTGTTTGAAAAAAATACCAACAACCCATAACACCTATTTTTTTCATCAAGATTATTGCTCAAACTCAAAGTAGAGTAATAACTTGAATGGCTCAAAAGTAAACCTATCAGTGTGAGAGTTGTAAAAACCGAGGGAGGGCAAGATGCAGTGACGTGAAAATCTGCCAATTGTGAACAGAAAGCTAAAATATAGTAATTTACTATCACTATCTCCCATCCAATAAAACGCAAATACCACTCTTGTTCAATAACAAGGTATACAAGGTACGGCGGATCCCGAGTCCACACAAGGCCTGCACCAAAGAGCAGTTTGCAGAGGGCTCTAATCAAAATTCTAAAACCAGTTATCAAGTTGCCTTCAGCACCCCTGAGTGTATCTTTTTAAAAAAATCAATAATTTCACCCACTCCCGAGTCATATTTCGCAACGCTCAGACTTTGCATGAACTTTGGCGACCCCAACAACCGCCGGTATTCACACTCACACAATGCTGTAGCATGTGATGCGAACGAACGCAGGTTCACTGACCGGCCACAATGACGAGCCCGGCAAGCTGAAAATCGGATGACGCTTGTATTTTCTTTTCAAGTGACAAATATTGATTTATTCTCGTGGCGACACAGCGTTCCTAACGCCTGACCCGCATGACACCAATATTGTGTCAGACTATCACCAGCAAATATCTGGGTGGTAACGAAAGCAAATCTTGATTTTCCCCCATCGAGCCCCAGTGTCACATACACTCCCGCCCGCCGTCATAGTTGCCTGTTTGCATGAGATGTAGCTTACTCTCGGACCAGGAAAAGCCGAACGAACATCACAATCACAACCGGCATAAATGAATAACTGATATATCCGATTTGGTTTTCAAATATTCGAGAACTTAATGTATTTTCCTCGGGTCTTTCCTGGGGCAGTTAACAGATTTCCTCACACTCCCAGGTCTGGCAGGTTCCTATACCATTAACCTATTGCCAACAGAATTACTGTAAATATATTCGTAACTTATACAAGACGATACTATGGTGAGTACGGAACCTTTGCCCGGAATTTCGGTAGCCCTACGCTATCGTACCTTTATATGGATGGAGTTGATAATGAAGGGGGAACATGTACGGAACTCTCAGAAAGTACGGCTTTCCATAAAAATACAGAAGATTGGAAGCACTGAGCGGCAGAGAACAGGAAAAGAAATCAAGTACTCCAACTTAATACCAATAGCTTACTTATCAGTGTTTCCCCTCTTCATCCAGCCATGGCCTCCCGGATATCAGGAAAGTAAGAGAAATTATAGTTTACAGCAATTCAGGACAAAATCAACCATATATCTTAAGGAATCAGGATAAAATAAACACTATATGTGTCACGACAGGGTGGGATCAGGCACTCGTCCGTTTTTTGGGCATATAAAGCTATTGGTATAGTTTTAAAGCTCGTTTCTTTGCCATGTTTTTGCCGCAAAAAAATATTCATTTATCTTGTATAGAAGATGAGATATTTGCGATTAAAGATGCTGGGGGTTGCCTGTTATCAAAGGGAGAAAATAGCTGTCAAAGTTTTATCTCCAAAAACTTCAGTGTTCTTGGAAGCTGCAAATTTACATTTTTTGTGCCTTTGATCAATGCCTTTCAATAAAAATCACACAGAAATATGTTTATAAATGAAAAGAAAAGGGGCTGAGCCCAAAATATTTAAAAAATTTAATAAAAATTGCACAATGTGTTAAAAAAAAAGTCAATTTTTTTCTTTGTTTTTATTATTTTGATGAGTGCCTGATTTCACCATGTTGCGACACATGAATTAAAAGGAGCATAACACACTAGGAGCCGTCAGGAAAGCAGTGGGGAAAGTACAAACGGGACCAGCAGTCAAAAAGATGAAGTCAGAACACAGAAAATATTACACAAGAAACATCCATCAGCTTTAAGTGCAGTGGGTGCACACAGCAAGATTAGATGGCATTCATCAAGGAAGAATTAACATCTTTCAAGAGTGACTTACATTTTTTAGCTCGTCTGTCATGTGGGTGATTTTGTCCTCCATTTCCTGGATGGCATCAGTCTGCTGGCTAATTTTGTTCTGCATTGCCCTGAAGTACAGAACACAGAGGTGACAAAATGGATGGATTGTAACAACCCACTTATCTGCAACAAATATATGACTGAGAGCCTTTGGCTTGTAATAGCAATATGGTGGGTAAATATGTGTGCTGCCCGCTCATACCGAAAGCCACTTGTATAAATAATCTAACTTCCAAAATAACATGCTTACGTTGAACTAATAGGCAGACACACTGGTGACCAACAAACAATGGAAATGCAGAATCCTGCATTGCCTTTTGTGAATCATTACAGAAGGCTGACATAAAATCTAGAACAGTACTTATCGTCATTCATTGGAAACAGGACAAATATACCAGACCTGCCACTCTATGAAACCTAAAAATCAGGATCTCAGGGAGAAAAAATCAGGATCTCAGGGAGAAAAAATCAGGATTTGGTGAAAAAAACCAGGATCAACAGCAAATCACCAAGGTGACTGCCAAAGCTGACTTAAAATTTTTCCAGGGGTGTCCATAAATTACTTGGCCTATATGACATCTTTGTGTCTTTGTTTGCGTGCGCGCGCATGCATGGAGTTATAATTATTTTTTGTAAATCCAGAAGCATCACGTCAAGCACTCCTAGTCCAAGTGTCTACACCTCCCCTCCCCCCCACCCCCACCAATCAGTCCCGAAATAGGCCTACATGAACTTAAGTTGACCCCGTCAACGGACGGTCCCCGATACCCAGAACGCACACGGCGATGTCATGTCACGGCAAACCTGGGAAAAACGAATAGATATGTATCTTCACAATACAGAGTTACCCGACGTATACCCTAATTTTCCTTAAATTTCATGCCTGAATGTCGCATGTCACAACCTCAGAACACCACTTCGAAATATTCTTGATTTTAGTAGTTTTAGTCTGGTTTAGCATAAATTTCTTTCATCGCGTTCCCGTGCCGTAGAATCTTCGTATTGATCATTTCTCTAAATCTAGACAATTTTATTTGTAAAAAAGTTTCTTTCTGAAAGTAATTTTCTGTCTAAGATCACAAGTCAATTTACTTGATCAATGCGCAGATTTTCCAACCGTGGCAACAATCCGAAGATTGACAGACGGAATGAGTGAATGATAGAAAGGAGGAAATTGGCACAAAAAGTTCGCCAGATTTTGATCAATCCACAGGTAAAAATGTACTGCCGACAAGCCCGCAATGAATGCACAGGCCTCAGCGGAATAATGGCCGATTGCAGGAAATTCGCAACCTGGCAGGTTTCTATAGCATTAACTTATTGCCAAGAGAATTACTGTAAATACCCGTAACTTATACTAGTACTAGACAATACAAAGGAGAGTACGGATCTTTAGCTACGGAATTTCGTTAGTCTTACACTGTCGCAGTTTTTTATGGAAGGAGTAGATAATGACGGAGGAACAAGTACGGAACTGGCAGAAAGTACGGATTTCCGTAAAAATACGGAAGAGTGGAAGCACTGCCGAATGCGCGATTGAAACAATTTTACTAACGGGTCCGACTAACTGCACGTTCACACAAAACACTCGGATGAGTGACAGCTTTTCTACTTTTAGGATAACGACGGCGGCGGACCAACCAAATGTACCAACAAATCTCTTATCCCTCATAATGCGTTCAGACTAAAGCAACGACAACGGTCGTATGTTAGTCTTGTCAGCGTAGTTACATGTAGTTGTGTAAGGGTTAAAAAGACTGTCGCTCGTCCAAGTGTTTGGTGTGAACGAGCAGTTACCAGACCTCGGACAAGGCTTGTTTTGAAAGTACAACGGAACTACGAGTATTATCGATTATTTGTATGTCCCAAATTGTAACAGTTACCAGGCTATCATCGGAGAATTCTGAGTGCATGCAAAGATCACACACAAGTTGGGGTGAGTCAATTACTAAATGCGGCATCGATATTTCGGGAAATAGTGCTCCGAGTTCCTACTGACAAAAAGTTCAACGGGTGCTTCCCGCGATAAAGGAGAAGGCAGAGTAAGTACTTAGAAAAATCGGGCACAACAGCAGACTGGGACAAAAAATCGGGATACACGCAATCGAAATCGGGAAAATCGGGATGCTTGAGATTTGGGGCAAAAAATCGACTAAACCGGGATGAGTGGCAGGTCTGAATATACACAGAAAAGAAGCCGTTAATCAAACACTTATTTTAAACTAAATAAATGAACTACTAAGAAAAAACCTCGATAAAGATGATATTAAAAAAAAACTAATTCTAATTATAAGGTTTCTCTATACATGTAATTATAAAAACAACACCCCCCCCAATGAACATGTGTAACCTGTCAAAATCATGCATGCTGCTAAAAGAGGAACCCAAAGATCATTCTGTTGTCAAACTTCACTCCGGATGATGTATTTCCAGAACTGACCATTCGTTGTAGATGTTATTGAGCAAAAATTCAGCTGCCATAAACTCTCTGACAACAGAGCAGAAAACTCAAACTTCTCCATTATCAGATCTATCAAGCCTACATAGGTTTGCAGGAGAAATGATATAGAAGGCATTTTGGATAGGGAAATCAAATTGATTAATTGCTAATTAACACATTACACCTTAAGGGTCTGGACGGGAAGTCCATTGTTAGATCCTAAGCAAGGGGAAGGAACCCACTTCCCGTGAATACAAGCGTTAAAAAAACACATTTTAAAAATACTAAACAAATTTCAAAAATCCTGAAAAAAATAAAAGTTGAAAAGAAAAATGAATGAAGTTTCAGAAAAATATAACTTGTATGCGCAAACCGTTGGAAATGTTCTAACTTTAGTTCAATTGGGGTGTCTGACCCGTCACTCTCACTCTGTCTTGCGGTCAGGCCTTAGATCTAAATTCTAGATTTTCTACGTCTGATCAATCTGCATCGCCCCAAACTCTTTGCTATAACGGTGTCATCAAAATCTGAGTCATCCGATTTGTCATATGCTTTTTTCGCTAAAAATCCATCGTTATTTCCTTTTTCAAGCTTAATTGTGTCGCTTTTCAACAAGTCGAGACACCTTTGAAGTGTTGATAACGCTATCGCACTTCCATCGGCTCTAATACTAAAACTACTGGCCTGAAAATTTTCGTTTCAGTATCAAACGAAAGAAGAAACTTTTTGCAAAAACTATGCAAATCAAAATCTCGGCCCCAGAGTCTCATCAAGGCGAGACTTTGTTTTAAAAGACGCTAGGACGGCGCAGGCGATTCCGAGCGAGTTAGGGTGGAAGGTGTAAGGAAATTCGCAGGCGAGCTAGGGTGCTATGTGTTAAACTGTTTGATCCTGCTTTACAGGGGAGCAAAAACTATTTTTTCTTGCGACAGCCAGCTGAAGATACAATTAACCAACAGACCAATATTTGTATGTATGTAATAAGACACATACACATAGTTTTCTTCAGCGACAAAGATCCCATTTTTCTCTCTGGAAGCTTGGAGATCCCTGCGCAGTCGCTCAATCTCCTCATTGTACTCCTGAAATTGAAATCATTGGCAAGGTTAAAACAGCAGCAATCACTAGTGGACAAACTTTATTTTTAAAATGTCTAAATAAATGGTAAAAAATCTTGAAACAATAAAGACATTGCTTAACTAGAACTTCAGACAAATCACCTCTCTCAGACTCAACACCCACACTCCAAAGTAACTTGCAAATGTGTTGTGGCTGAGCACTACTGTTCACACAAATATAAAATCCATTAAAAAAATAATGCACTACATTCTGTTTCTAAAAAATAATTACTCTTTACCCTAAGCAGAGCTTTCTTTGTGAGTTTCTGGTTGATCTCAGGCCTGTTTGTGATGTTCTTCGCCCTGAATGCGTAGTCCAAGGTGCTGAGAGTCTCCTGATAAAAAGAAGCGCAATATGTCATTTCCAAAATTACTCCCGAATAGGTCATACGAGAACATGGAATTTTCAAAGAATTATTTTTACAAAGAGGCACTACAACATGATTTCAATAAAATACTGCAGTAACCTTAACAAAACATTAAATCATCACAGTAAAATCAAAAGGCAGCTGGTTAAATTAAATCAATGTTGAGAGAAGAAAAAGTATTATTTTTCAATGCATTAAAAGGAAAAACAGTGAGAAAGGTGCAACAAGCTACAAGAATCCCAAATATACAAAATTATACCTTACATTATCATCGATATCTACCAGCTCCTTTGCTGATTCCCCCAGGCCTCATTTGTTTTATAAGAAGAACGTCAGTTAATGAAACAGTTTCGGGCTTCATGTACTATGAGTTTTTGCATATATCAGTTTCACAGGATAATGGCATTATCACTCTCCAATGAAGCTTCATGATTCTACTGTCATTGGTGAGAACAAATGTTTGGCCTCCCAGGCTATATTACATGGCAGTAAAAATGTTTTAAATCATTTGCAGAGAGTGACAACACTCTAAAGGGAAAAAAAGCAAGTGCAAAACAAATTCTACTTGTCAAAATTCACTAATTAAGAGCCGAAATCTCACAGTCGAACCCAAACCGTAGACAACAGTGGTCATATTTTGTAACAGCTTAATTATCATTTCACTACAAAAGTTTCTATCTCATACAACAAATTAACAAAACTTTCACCAGCAGAACCAGAAATTGCAACAGAACATACCTCTAGATTCACAGATGCGGGTGAAATCGTTGCAATGATAGATGTTTTGGTGCGTCCTCCCAGTGAGTCTTGGAGAAGGCGGGTCAGTTTGCTCTCCCTAGAATAAAAATCAAAAGTAGCAACAATAGCATTTTGAAAATGTTAACTGTTAAGAATGCAACAAACAAGAAATAAAACAGAGTTAAGTTTTACAACCTTATATCATGCTATCTATCCAACAAACGATGAATGCTTTTCTCTAATCAAATGGAAATTATGTCAGAAAAGAAAATAGGTCATTGGTTTAAAACTTAACTCCATCATTAAACAAGTGGATACATAACCAAATTTTTTAGACAAAAAACATATGAGCATGTTTTTCTGCACTTTGGTTGATTTGCTGGTGAACATTCGTAGAACAATAAAGCTGAGATGACATCCAGACAGATACAGAGTTTGAAAAGGAAGGAATGAAGAAGACTCTAAGGACAAAAAAAAAAAGGAAAAGAAAAGAAAGAAAGCAAAATTTTGAGAAGTAGACAATGTCCTCAACTGATTACTTTACAAAATCATGACAGAATAAGCTGACTGTTGCCAGTGGGTAATTTTTTAAGTGTTTGACAGCTATAGCTGAATTTTGTTAAGTTTTTACTCATAATTGACATATATGATTGTCTTGTAAACAACTCAGTTAGACCCTTGTTTACTCGAACACATAATAACTGGAACCTTTTAAACCTGGTCCCCCGGGAGTCAGGTTTATGTTCCCCGAAAAGAGTATTTTGGCACCCCAACTTACGCCTGGTTCTGCACCACCATGGCCCTAGCTCAGCGTAAGCATGTCGAGCACCCTTCGTGTGATGACAGGGTCCCGTATTCCCACAGCTTAAGTGTGTGTGTGTGTGTGTGTGCATCAGTCTGCTTGAGTTTGTGTGCGTTTGTGGCCTACTTCTAGAAACGCCTACGCTGGTTCGATATCGAGGCGTACATCTCATTCGAAACACGTCAAGTTGATAGCTCTGTATGTTCGTCCAATGAAATTTGAACAAATTGACCCATTAAGACATGAGGAACCCGAAAGGATAACCAGGAAACAAGACTCCCATTTTTCTAAACAAAATCTTTCAAATGAGCTTGATTTTACATGAAAAATAATTACCTGATAAAAATAAACTTATTTGATAGCTTTGAAAACCATTGCGCAGGTAAATAGAAAAATCTGAAAACAAAACATTTGGAAATTGACCTATATTATTTCCTTTCCAACTCCAGATCATTCGTAACTGCTCGTAATGGCTCATCAACTTATGAGAGGAGGTTATTCATGTGTTTGTAACACTTTATAAATAGAAAGCTATAAAAGTCAGAGCGGTATTTTTATCATTGATTAACACACTCCCATGGTATTCATGTTGCTCGCTGGCGGTAATAAGTTGGGTCTTTTCGAAGACTCGCATCTCAACACAGCAGCAGAACAGGACTTAAAATATGTGTAAACATCGCATAATTAATTACATACAGTACACCAGTAATTGAGGGACCCTGAGACTGTAAAACTCAAGAAACAAGAAACAATGTGAATTTATACAAAGGCCAGAAAAATGTTTAAAACAGTTTACCGGTAAGGGACATGTGGAGCATGTTCAACAAGAGCGGTAATGACCCTTCCCAGCGTCAGGAGTGACTGATTGATATTTCCTGTACACAAGAAGAGATAATGAAAAAATAACCAACACATCCCTGTTTAAAGAAATGCACTAACAAAGATCACACCTTCCTGAAATGTGTCCATTTTTATAGGGAACTGTTCCGTGTAAAATGTCAGACAAATGATAAAGCAAAAACTTATAAGTTATTTACATTAAAATATTACACCAGAATGAGATGCTTTGGTCAAGAACAGCAAAACCATAATAATAATAATAATAGATAATAGACAGCATTTACATAGCGCAAATCCCCACTCAACAGCAAGATCTATGCGCTTCGCAATCTATACTATTACCCCAGTAGACCTAAGAGCATTCTGAAACAAACTCAACTTCCTGGGAAGCATACAGTGCAAGCAGCCATTTATAGGCGCTAAAATACATACAAGCAGCACATTCAATCAAATGCAGGGAAATCAGTTTGTACTGCGAAAGCAGGATAGACGATTTATGTAAATTCCAGAGCATTTTATAAAAAAGAAAGAAAGTATAAATACTCTATTCTTCATGTTTTTCTTTCTTCCAAATGCTTTTTTCTTTTAACACTTGATGAACAGTGAGGAAAATTAATGCAAAGAAAATTTTGGAATATCAATCTCTCTGATGTGCGCAAAACTATGCAAGCCATTTGTTTCAATATCTTGTAGTACTCTAGCAGGAGACTTATGAAACTTCCTCAGCTCCCAACCCCTTTTTTTTTTCCAAGAGCAACTTTTCTTATATCTGATCTAGCTAAGAAAAATACCAGCTTCGCGAGCTCGCTTCTCCACTGCTCCAGATCGGCCAATGTTCTCAGAGCCAGCAAGATCCACCTGTACAAAATAGGGAGTGTCATGTTAGCAAAGTCATGGACTCATGTCAAACACAAAGGTTAAAATAGGTTTTTAAAAAAAAACCCTGGGTTTTTTTTTTGGGGGGGGGGGGTTGTTTTCTTTTACCACGGTGAATCACAAATGGGACAAATTTCACCTTTCTGCTTTTGAGCTGTTGGGTAGCGAGCTATGGTGGAATTTGCTTCCTTCTTGAACTTATTAACATGGAATCCCCAAGAATACAGATTTTTGTCTACATGAAACTGAGAACTTCCTTCACAGATACATTCAAACATACCATGTAGTTAAGGTAAGCTTACACATTTTAGTGCGTACTTTTCTGAGGTCTCTGAAATAAGTAAATAAGTATGTCAGTTTTCATAAAATAAGAAAGACAATTTTGTCCTATAAAATCCCTATTAACTTTTTGTTTTCAGACCAGTCAAGTCTGTTGTCACTGAAAACCCCCCAAAATAAACAATTTCAATTTATTTAAAACACTCCAACATAGTAGTGTTTTAACAAGACCCCAGTATAAACACAACCCATAAAATACACATACCAAATACAGTTTCCCAGTCTTGAGAAGCTCCTCCCCATCCATGGTATTCTCTTTTATATGAATTGTTACAGAGAAGACAGAATGGGAGCGACTGTGAAAGAGATAAACAAACCAACAACCAAAATTAGAACCTTTCAGGGTTTCCAAAAGCTTGAAATACATGAGCTAAATCCACAAAATGATACAAATTTGGGTCATAAAGAAAAAGAAAACACAGGCAATAAAGTTGGCAGACATTTACCTATAAGTGGTATGGCTGTCAAATTATTCAACCTTCTTATAGTTGACAATTTTACCATTTAAGTGTCCATTTTAGACCAAACCCACAAAAACTGATACACACATGAAAATGAAATTGGCAATTTTAGACATTAGTCCATTGTGATGAGAGTGTTTAATTAATCCAAAATCATTCAAAAAATAAAACAACAACATCAGACTCCCATCCTCTTTTATATGTTCCTTTCCACACACAAACATTTCCAAAACTGTATTGCTCTAAACCAAAACAAAATTTGTATTCTTTGCTTTCCATGAAGCAAAATCAGTTTGAAAATATAACTTATTAAACAACAAATTCGTAAAATCTTATTTAAAACCAGTGCATTTCTGATGTCTCTAATCCAGGTGGTGACCTTAGGTTTGCAGTGCACTGAACGAAAAATGTACGTTTCAAGCTCAGGCAAAAAAAAAAGTCCATAAGTTCGTCATCATAACAAGATTTTCTCAAGTGCCTGTACCTGGAAACAGCATTCATCAGAGTGGCAGCTGTTTGTCTCTTTGCAGTTCCCCGCTGCAAAATCTCATACACCTCATCTTTGCTGCGGACAACCATTTCTTCAAGACCAGATATAATGACTGAACCCTGCAAAATTTCAACATAATATCATGATTGTGAAACAAAACCTTGCAAGACAAAACAGGCCAATTTGGGTAACTCTGAACATTAAAAAAAAAGTTTTCTCCAATCAACTGGAATCAAATCTAAATGGATTGAAAAGTTGTGTGTGTGTGTGTGTGTGTGTGTGTGTGTGTGTGTGGGGGGGGGGGGGGGGGGGGGGGGATAAACCCTACAACCTAGTTCGGTGAGTTGCATTTTCTAACTATTTCAGCAGCACACTATAAAATCCAGAAGATTGAATTTTCTTTAAAAAGTTACTGAAAATCATTTTGAAGAGTAACCATCAAGAGGGATATAAAAAGACCAAAGGTATTTAAAATCTGCAAAAGTCAGCTGCCTGAAAATAGTTGCCAATGCTAGGCAAAGTACCTTCTTCGTGTTGTCTTCATAGATGCGAAGCCTCAAGGGGTCAATGGTGGAGCCAAGAAGGTCAAACAGCTCTTCATTGTACAGCTCAAGGAAAGAGACTCGGACAGAAAATTCAACCTCTGTCTGTGGGAGAGTCAAAGCAAAACAGATAACCCAAAAAAAAATAAATAATAAAATAAAAAATATTCATGACAATGCCTTTTATGAATGACAATGAGAAGGTGGATATATGAAAATGTCTCAGTGTATCTAAATATCAGGATGTTTCATTTTGTCGGCCTTCTGTTAAATCCGACTAACCCCAGCGGAGTAAATTTTACAGTAGAAGGAAAAAATTGTTTTATTTCAAAACAAAAGTGTCTAACGATAAATCAATGCTTTAAACACCTATAAAAACACTTTATCGAAAAGCTGAGGACCTTTTTTCTTTACAAATTCTCTTTTAATGAAACGGCGTGGGTTGGACGGTTATGTTGCTAAAAATTTTCAAGATAAAACCGATCAACCCTCAATTTTGTGGGTTGGCCGGTTTTATCAGGACGCCACTGCTGGCCTTGAGTGCAGCCAAGCCGCACTTGCAGGTGACGTTTTTGATCTGTGGTCTCAATCGTATTGATCTTTTGTGTTACATGTATAATCATCATCAGAAGAAGAAAAAGAAGAAGATTTAGAAGAAGGAGGAAGGAAAGAAGAAAAAGAGGGAGATGTGGATGAGGAGGAGGAGGATAAGGAGAAATAGGAAAAGGAGGAGGAGGAGTAAGAAGAAAAAGAAAGAAGAGAAGGAGGACAATTTTATTGCTTCCAGCATACTATCAGCTGTTGCCATTTCAGTGCTATGGAGTCAATTCGGACAAAAACAGCAGTTACAAAGTTGAAAGTTTACTATAAGTAGAAGAAGCCGAACACAGCAATGGGTCTATTAACTACATTTGAAGTAGAAGGAAGTTTGAAGGGTAATGGAGAGCAGCTAGAGCAACAACAACAACAATAGTAGTAGCAGCATCAGCAGGCTTTAGAATTTATGACAGTGTCTGACACGATACTACTGGCACTGGGTGGCCATTCAAAGGCCTGGAAAAAAGTAATACTAAGATAGAAATGAAAGCAGAAAGCATAATTCAGTGACTTTCCCGTACACAGACAAAGAAGAACATGTGGACAGAAAAATAGTTTCATATAAAACAAAATCCATAAAGATGCATTTCAAATACCGGCATTGTCATGAGATAAACAGCTCTGTGGGAACAGTGGGGAGTTTTAGTCATTAATAACAATATCAGAAGTATTAAAACAAAGAAAAAAGAGGAAACAACCAGATCTATATAACTCCCCAATAAAACCAACAAGAAATATTACACGGTTACGTGAGCGAATTCTGAACTATTACAGGAGTGAATCTGATGTCAAATGAAGTCCGGCAGTCGTAATTATCGGGCTAAAATCCGATGGGGGCCAGATTATACGGTTTTATTTCTAATGTTTTAAAGACATTTCTAGACAAAATTCTGATCTGTCTTTGAGTGAGCATATGAAATGGACAATTTACTATCGATAGGGCCAATAAAATTACTTTTGATATTTTGCGGGTTAGTCAGTTTTATCACAAGGCCGACGATTTGAGTGTGCCGGTCATTAATTTCCCATTAAGCTTTTCTCTATGCGGTCAGAGGTGCCAGAGCAATGACATTCTTACAGAAAAGTCACAATGGGAAAACAGGGAAAAAAAGAAAAAAAGCCATTCCACTTCTCACTAAGAGTTACAAACAGATGAAATCACAAAAATTAATGCCTGACCAGCAGATGTGTATTTGTGATCAGAGCCATCAAACGAAAATGACTAATTACCTGTCGCTGCAGTTCTTCAAATATCTGGTGGAGAGCTCTAGGAATGATACCAGTCATCGGGTCTTCATCCCAGCCCATTGACGCATTCTCACTCCTTTCTCCTTCCATGGTGAAAGTCTTACCAGTTCCAGTTTGTCCATATCTGGTTTTTTTAAAAAGAAAGACATTTTAAAAACTTACACATCCCAGCATGAGTTACAACTAAAGCAAAGAAATAATTTGCACTTCAATAAAAATACTGTTAGGGAGGCAGGTTATCCGAGTACATAAAAATCTGTATGAACAAAAAACAAAACATGCACGTCACTGTGTATTTTGCAGTGGCAGTAGAACATTCAAATTTAAAGGTAAAAAACAACATAAAATAGAAAATAAAATGAGAAAAACTTACGCAAATATGGTGCAGTTATAGCCTGAGAGCACCTCTTCCACCACTGGTTTAACAACAGCTTTGTAAACATCAATTTGCTGTGAGTCTGGTGCAAAGACATGATCAAAGTTGTAGGTCTTGGTAAATGGGTGAATACCAGACCTTTCTTTCACAGTGACTTCACGCTTTGCACGATCACAGTTCAGGACAGAGCAGCTTCCTTGTTTCTTTTCAATGCCATTCAGAGGTCTGGTAAAGGAAAATTTATGAGAAAGGGTCAGTCTTTACAATTTTTGAATTCATGAATTTGTGTGCCATGGCATGATGGCCCAATCTGAAACAGGAATCTATTTATAAATTACTGGGTTTTCACACCTAAAACAAGGATGGTATATTTTTACCTTAGACTCACACGCAGTTGCACTGTTTTGAGAGCTAAACTGCCATAAATTCTAGCAGCAGAACACACGTACAGTTCAGTACGGCCAACACAACCCTTGCAAATCAGCTGTTTTCAAGTAAATATCAATCCTAATTGATAAAACATCAAATCATGGAGAAATGTAAGGGGGCATGCCCACCCCCTGAAATCAATGCTGTTAAAAACAAGTCAAATATTACTACGCCATTAACCCTGCTTTAATATAGTTCTGTTTTCAAACATCAAGAACCATTGATTTGCAGCAAAAATGAAGGCCATATATATATATTCGTGTTCAGCACGCAAAATACTACTAGAAAAAAAGTATCGAGTACATGAGACGGGTCGATGAGTAAAAAAAAACCTTGGATGTATTTTGATCAATGTAATTCTTTTCAAGTAGAATCACATTATAATTGTCTGAATAAAACTTAAAAATATGGATTCAACATTCAACAACATTAAAACACTGCTAAAAGAAAACAACAACAATAATTAATCTTAAACTTATATTATCCTTTTATCTTCGGCCACATGATACAATGTCAAATAGCCCTAAAACCAACATTTTTCAGGAGAGAGAAAAAACTGTTTCATTCTTTAAAAATTACATGTACACTTTGAAACTGATAATGAACAACGGGAAAGGCATTATATTGATTGGTTGAGACTAATCGTTTTGTGAAAAGGTGTTTTTGTAATGAGATAATAGGCACATTGTTCGATCCTTTTTTTACTCTGACACAATGTACTAAGCTCTCGCGCACTGCAGTTTATTACGTCAAAAGCATGGTTTACTAGAAGACAAGTCATCATACAACCTTTTCACAGCTTATTATTGATAGTCTGTAGACTTTTTCTAGTAGAAACTATTTTACCAGCTTATTACAGACATCATCAAACTGCACTTTTGACAATTGTTAGTACATTCCTACACATGATAACAAGTATTAAAATGACGACATATTCTTGTGATTGCTTCACAGTATTACTGAAAATATAGTTATTGTTAATTGTGTACGTTGTAATACTTCGAAAAATATGTGTCACATTTATTCATCACCTACATGCTGACACACACACACTCTCCTGCACACAGTTAAATTTTATATATTTCAAAATACTTTAACAAAGCAGTGCTCCAAAGTGTCATAAAAAGCACTGGCCATGTTGATATTTTGTACTTGAGATCATATGTTTTCTTTGTAAGTGGAGTGCAGGGGCAGTGGTGCTTGATGGCTTGTGGTTGCAGGGTTTGGGCATGTCTTGCCAGTCGTCACAGAAAACGAGCTTGTACTGAATGTCTCCTTGTGACTTGTGAGCAACAGCGGAACGCTCGTGTGTCAACCACTTTTGCGACCCTCGACTTTTCTTCCTGGTTGAAAGGTCAAGTATTTTTGCAATGATGAATATTTTCTGAAGAAAACATCTCAGTATTTGACTTCATATGGCAGAAGGCTTTGAAATGCCAGTTTGAAGACATTAACAAAGTCAGAAGGTACGTCTTATAAGAGCGTTTTTGAGGGATCGTTCAATGACGCCAGGAACACTACTAGACCAAACTCCATTTGAGTGTGCCTCTTTCTGAGATTATACTTCTGTTCAGTTGTGTTATTGAACTCACTAACTAGAGATGAGATGACACTGGCGATTGAGGCATTTTTATTTTGGTAAAGGCATCCACCACTGTACAGTAGCCTATATTCTGCCATAGGATTTAGCAACAAGGGATTGTAGTCTACGATGCAAGATGAAAATTCAACAGAAGTTAGTCCATCTTCAACCTCATGCCAAACATAACATTTCACGTCCTGGGATGCCATATTGTAGACGGTAAAGTTATGCATGACAAGCTTTGTTCTATAGTACAGAGCGGATGCCTTGAGCATGGGACACAAGACACATTGAAGACCTATGCAGACACGTTCACTCTGTCTGACGTTTCCTTTGCTGAGGTCTCCACTGCTATCTTTTAATTTCTTTCTCTAGCCATCCTCCTTACTTTCTTTGTGAACTACCTGGTAAGATTGAAGAATACCGGACCAGCGGACAGGCTGGCACTACTCTTGCCTATGTCTCAACCTCAGGAATTCATGATTTCCCCCCAGTTTTTAATATCTTTCTATGGAGAATCTCGCATTAACAATTTGTCAGGGGGGAGGCCTCCCTGAACCCCCCCCCTTTCCTCCATTCTCACGAAATTATACGAGTGGTCCAGTATTCTTCAATCTTCCCAACTACCTACGCACCTTTTGTTATGTTGCCTGTTTGGTACCCGGCGCAAATGAAAATGTCTTTTTCTTGCTGGAAAAACATAAACTTGTTTTGGTTGAACTCTTTCCTGAATGGCTGCGGTTATTGGTACAATAGTGCATACAACTCTAACTAGTTATTAGTACAATTGTACTTATAACCAGACAGAGTAATTCGTACAATTATTCGAATTTTGGAAGTTGTTGGTAAAAATAAGCCTACATCACTAGATCTAGTCATCCAGTTGGTTCTCCCCTGGGTTGAGCATCAATGTAATAACTTTAGCCAGGCCTAAATTGGTAGGCCTAAAAGGAAAAGTAGGCTACATCATTAAAATATATGTAGATCTATAATTATGACTAGATCTATACACTAATATAGTTTCTTTGTTTTTACATAAAACCATGAGTGGAAATCTTTGAAGTAAAAACATGCAATTATGGGGAAAAAATGTTGGTCAGTCGGGGGAGGAGAGAGAAGAAGAAAAAAACAAATAAAAAAAACAACTTCCGGGACCGGGATTCGAACCCACACTCAAAATATAATCTTCTTCTAACGCAGACACACGACTGTCATTTCGGCCATCAGAACTATCAACAGAAGGAGGTAGATTAAGCTTAAATATTTTTACAGCACGATTTCAACGTAACACACATTTCTAGATCTATCTATCTAGAGTCTAAATCTAGACTTAGATCTAGATCTAGTTGTTTTTTTTTACATGAGGCATGAGGCGGCTGGCATCAGATCGGCAGATGAGGTCTGACGAAAAATTTAAATTTTTCAGCTGGTGGGATATTGGAAACACTGATCTAGAATCTCTAGGTCTAGATCAAGGAGATTAATTTTTAAAAGTAATGGAGGATGCTCTGTGGGCGGCACCGCACGCCTGATTGGAGCCCTCTCTCGCGGTGGAACTGTGGTCTACCTGCGCTGAGCGAATGCCCGACTTGCGCACTGAAATCTATATAAGAAAGAAGGTTTTATTCCGAGGTCCTTGAGATTAGGCAAGTCAATTAGTGTAAAAATGCCTTGCATCTGTGTTGCATTTAAGTGTAAGAACCGATATGATGCTGCAGTGGACCGAAGTTTTCACAGTTAAGTTGTTTTCCTTTAAAAAAATTTGAATGAAAGTGTTTTTATGCCCCCAGCAACACAATTTAGATCATTAACATTCATAAGAGGCTGGCTCCGGCGCTACCTGCCAAGGCCAACCCAGGCTGAAAGGGCAAGGGATACAACACCCCAGCAGAAAGACCGAGATACTCAATTTTTTAAAAGTATTCTTATTCTTATATATATATAACTCTCTTTTATTTAAACGAAGTGTATACAGACCCGGTAACCGGGAACAAAGTCACGAAGTATACAGACCCGGTAGGGGAACTCTTTTGTGATTTCGGGAAGTTTCAGACCTCAGACCCGGTAGAAATCTTTTGTGTGTGTGTGTGTGTGTGTGTGAGAGAGAGAGAGAGAGAGAGAGAGAGAGAGAGAGAGGGAGAGGGGGTGCTAGCAAAATGTATATGACATGCCCCAGTTGGCAGGAGGGAACGAGAGAAAGATAGAGTGGGAAATAGGTGGGGACAAAGAAATACAGAGACAAACAAAGAAAAAGAGAAGGCGAGCGATACACAGAGGAGAGAGAGAGAGAGAGAGAGAAAAAACCATCGTTCATCGAAACGACATCTGCAATCTTCATTTAGATCTAGGTTAGCCGCAAAACTAGATGAAAGATTTATGTCTGTCCGCCTAGATCTAGACCTAGACCATAGATCTAGAAGAACCTAGGTCTACCCTGAGCCAAGAGGGCGCTGAAACTCTCCGAAATCACAAAAGAGTTCCCCTACCGAGTCTGTATACTTTGTGACTTTGTTCCCGGTTACCGGGTCTGTATACACTCCCTTTATTTAATTTTCCCCATTCTCCTTCGTCCCTTCCCAAGGCCCGCCCCTCCTCTTTCATCCCTGCCCCATCCCCTCTTCCTTGCGTGCATTCCCCCACCCCGCCCACCCCCACAACGTGGCCCAGCCCGATAAGATTCTATAAAAAGAAACGCCACAGTTCGAGATTTAGCCCACACTCGGCGGCCATATTTGATCACCACCGCGGCGTACTGCTCGTGGCGCCGCGAAGAGAGAGATGAGGCTCCATTAGTTCTAAACTCCTTGGTTTAGATCTAGATCTTTAGATCTACTAAGACAGAACATGTAGGTAGTAGTAGTAGTAGGCCTGTGGGCATACAGGCCTACTATGGTACGGATACCTGCAGCACTTCGTACAATTGTGCGTACAATGTTGTACGGATAACTAGACAGAGTTGTTCGCACAATTGTATGGTACAATATTGTTCGGATAACTAGACAGAGTCAGAGTTGTTCGCACAATTATACGGATAACCACTCCGTTCCTGAATAGTTCTTATAGAGTGTAGTTCTTTTACTCTCTACACTACACCCCTTGAAGCAGTGCATTTGTGAGCGGGAGTGAAAGTAAAAATTTACCCCAGAAGTAATCGTTGGTAAGGTCAAAACGAGTAGACTTCTACCTCTAAACGGGACTGCAATTGTACAGGAGTGCCCAGTTTTGGCTAGATCTACACAGAAGTCGGGACCACCATATCCAAGGCCAAGGAGTGCCGGTAATTCTTGATATCTAACTAGATTTAGATCTAGATATCTAGGCATAGACTCTAGATCTAGAATATAGATCTAGATAATCTAGAGTAGACTAGAGTTCTGGTTACACCGTAAAATCCCCCAACGACAGTTTTATAGTTAGACTAGATATAGATATCTAGATCTAGTTATAATATTTAATTATAATTAGAATCTATATAGGTTTCTAGATCTAGCCTAAATTGTTATTCTAGTTCTAGCCTGCTGCCAAAGCCAAAGCCCAGCCAGATAAATCCTCAGCCTGACACTGACTCTGACGACAAGAAGATGTGATTTAATGAGAACATCATTTTTTTCCCGTCCTACCTGCACCTGACTGCAACATGAATATTTTGGTTCTTCTCCTTCACTTCTCCCTTTGCCTTTGAAGACATCGCGCTTTCTTGTAAAATATTATAATATACCTTAGCTTTAAAAACAAATTTTTGACATAAACGCACGATTGTTTACATCCAATAAGTCTCAGGTTTGAAAATCAAGCACTGCACAGTCAAGTTTTGTCTCAACCAATCAGCGAGCGAGAGCGAAAGACATTAACCGGAAGTCCAGCTCATTAGGCGTGGCTCCGTAGTTTGTTTTAAGCTCCTTGGGCTACAGTTTCAACGCTTTTTTTACTTCCAAGTTTCCAACGACACTGTTTCAGATCATTTTGAACTGTTCGCCTTGATCTAGCAAGTTCCATCTCTCATTTCTTCACCCAGTCTTGTACTTTCGTCTTCTTTCATTATGATCTGCCGACGTTTTTCTTATTGTTGTATAAACAAATTTTCCCCTTGTTTTTCAAAGCATTAAAGTTAGGCTAGGTTATTCTTGGCGACTAGATCTAGTGTGAATCATACTTTATTTTGATTAAGTGTGAACATAATAATAATACGTTCGTTATAGATAGTTATAGCACACATGTAGAGCACACAAATACAAGTTGATGGTACATACTGAAATAATTACATATTTTAGAAATGTGATATGGCCTACCCTTTTCCCCTTGAGTTCAGCCCTGCCATATTAATTTTATTTAATATTAAATATTGTTTTCGTTTAAGGGTTAATTTCTCTTTTCCAATTCTCCACGATTATCTCTCTCCCTCTCTCTCTCTCTCTCTCTCTCTCTCTCTCTCTCTCTCTCTCTCTCTGCAGTATCCCCCCCGGGAAAAAAAACACTTTCTCTTGGCCTACACTCACCAGCTTAGGTCAGTTCTGTTTTGTTGCTAAAGGATTCTCACATTAACTCCCACCAGTCGAAGTACATTGTAATTGTAAACAATCGTTTCAACCCCCAAGGTGATGCTGTCTTATCTGACCGGATAAAGAGAGAGGTGCAACAATGGGATTCATAATGGTATAAAACAATATGGGTTTTTTGTGTTGTTGTTGTTTTTTTTTGGGGGGAGGGGGGTGGTTAAACCTAATTCCTCCTTGTTTTTATTGATAAATCTACATGTTGGAGGACTGGTTTCAGAGCCAGTGCATAAGTGTGTGTGTGTGTGTGTGGTAGCCTATCCGTTCGAAATGTTCGGAGCCCCGAAGAGTGTGCTCTTCGCCAGGGCCACCGCCTCCCTTGGGTAGCGGGTGAGGCAGTAGTGCATAAGTTGCAAAAGATTCGTACGGTAGCACTCCAATTTCATGCTAAATTCAAAATGGCGGACGTTTTGCAAGTAACGAAGGAAGACGACGATGATTTCGAAATCGACGAGGAGGGAGACCGTAAGAAATTAAAAAACCCTTACATATTGATGATATTAAAACATTGACTTTTTATTTGTTTTAGGGCCTGTTTTTGTTTCTGGACGTGTGTTTCGTCTTACTAAAAACATAATCGTTACACACTTGTCAAGCACCAATTTTCGATAGAATCTGTCACAGAGTTATTGATCATTTACATGACAAATTAAAATGAAAGAAACATTCTAACGATAACATGTAAAATGAATTTTAAAAACAGTATTATCATTAATTAAGGTAGATCTAGACTACAAACAGTTTGCAGCAGCTGCGGACACAAATGTTAACTTTAGAACTTTTGTGCTGATTAGCCTTAGCGCAATGAGGCTGCGGCGGCAATGCCCACCAAGCGTGTTTTGTTCTGCCGATTTTTGGCCCCTGCAGCGGGGGTGTTTCGTGGGACGCACTAACGCAAAGGTTGTTGTCTTCAACTCGCTCTCATGCCGCTTCTCCTAAATGGGGATATGAATGAAACTTGGCAGCCAATCAGAAAAGAGGTCAATCTTGTAGTAAGCAGTTTGACAACTTTGTACCCATCCACCAAGAAGCAGTCGAAAACGTTTGCGAAAGTGGTTGATGTGGTGCACTTAGAAGATTTGTCGGAGCTGTGATTTGTTAAACTGACTGATACGTTGTACACCATTCCCTTTTCTTTATGGCCACCTCTATTCTCACCCGGAGTGAGAATAGTGCAGGCGAGTCTTGTGGCTATTCTCACCCGGTGCGCGTTCACCAAATTTTGCGTTCACCCTAAACCATAGAATTCTACACTGTGAGGAAAAATTGTAGAATTCTGTGCCGTGAACAAACGTTCCATTACAACTGTAGCCTACTAAAAGCGTACAATTTTGTCTGTGGGCAGTGGAGAGAGAGAGAGAAAGAGAGAGAGGAGTAGCGCGAGAATTTCCGGGCAAAACAAAATGGCGACCCGCGTAGTTCGGCTCGATTCGAAAAGTTAAATAGCCGTAGCATCTTTGTAGACAACCAAATTTATTTACTTTTGTGTTTTAACATCATTTTTTAACTTTGTTTTGGTCAATTTGATCATCCACACCGATAGACAGTATTCAGAAAGAGACAGAGAGAGAAAGAAGAGGGGAGGAGTTGATCTTGCGAGAACTTCCGGGCGGGTGAGAATAGCCACTTTCTTTCTTTATTCCCTTAAAATGTCATGCTTCTGTGTTTAGCGGTTTTTGCGTAATCTTTAAAAATGTAGGAGTAACTAAAGGGAAAAGCGGCATTGCCATTTGGCATTTGCGCGTGCTGGGTGAATGACCGACGGCTGGGAAATTTCCACTGAGTGACGTCATCAGCCATCGGTCGCCTCGGGCGCTACAAACGAGGCCCCGCTTATGTGAACCGGAAAGGGGGGGAAGGATACTTGAAAACTAAACGGGGGCCTTGATAACTTGCATTTTTGTTGCATTTTAGTCACAATACAATAGATGTATCATTTTTATTTGCTTGATTGCATGACAGAAGAATAGAAACAGAAAAGCAAACATCTTGAGAAGTGGTATGGCATTGTGTTTGTGTTTGGAAAGCCTATTCCCCCCTCTTGGGAAAGCACACACTTGGACTCGTCCTGTGTCCTCTGTTTGGAAAAGTGAGGCATTAAGATTGTTATTAAAGAGTATGGTACTTATTTAGTCCTGTCTCGGAAGATAGTCCCGTTTATACATTGTTATCGTTCACACGTGTGTGCGTGCATGTGTGTGTGTGTGTACGTGAGAGAGAGAGAGAAGGGTGGGGGGGGTGGGGTGTAAATGTATTACATTTATAGTATGAGTTGTAGCTTACACTTGCGAAATATTCCCATGACTTGTAAACTATATTATCTAAACGCATCTTAATCTACCACACAATAGGACACTATCCAACAATGGATATTTATACACAGAGACGATCTTATTTTCTATTACAAAGTATGCATGCTTTTACTAGTAGAGAACTGGATTTATTAGACTAATAAATCCAGTTCTCTACACATTTTTGAGACAAATTGATCTAGAGCATTGCTTGGCATGGAGGAACCTCTTATGTTGCCAAGTTTCATTCAAATATCATGAGTTTGGGAGAAGATATGACTGATAATCTTTGTAAATCTGGACTGATAATCTTTGTAAATCTGTAAAGAACGCCACTTTTTTACCTGTTAATGTCTTTACAACTCAAAAAATATGATAGATATTAAAAATCTGACAACATGACTAGATTCTGCATTAAAAACCCTACTGGACTGCCAAGTTTCATTTACATAATAGGCGAGCTATGACAAGTATTGTTGAAAACCGCCACATTTTTACCTTATAAACGTCTTCATAAAACTCAAGAAGTAGGATCTGAAAAATCTGAAAGCAGGACTAGATTCTGCACTAGAAAATGTACTGGGTTGCCAAGTTCCATTTAAATACTCTGAGAAATGAATGACAAATTATATTGTCTCAAAACTCACCAAAGAACGTGCCATATTTTGGGGGGGGGGGGGGGTTCATTATAAAAGTGTACCAAAAATTAATTTATTAAAAAATTCGTAACTTTTTTGTTTATTGATGGATTTCAAAAATTGAAAAAGTTCTATGCTCTATGGAAATACAGCTACAACATGCACCTATTTGCAAACACTTTCTGACAAAAAAGGTTTTTCGTGGTCATTGCAATGCTGATCTTATTTTAGGTGACCTGTTTTGTTAATAAGTTATGGCAAAATATATTGACCGCAGGACGATGCGGTCACATTACGCAACACAGTGTTGTATAATATTACCCACCACGATATGTTTTAAAAATCTCGTCTGACTGTTATTTTGTCCTCAACATCACAAGGTTTCAGAAAATGTTTGGTTTTTGCATGTACGCAGCAGCATATTGAAGCAGCTAACATTTCCCTTATTTTTCTTGCTGTTTCGATCACAAAAATTGCCTTTTTTTTCTTCTTTTTTTTTTCGCCTGGAAAAGATCTTTAAAATGCCATATCTCAAAAACGGTTCAACATGGAGCAATAACTAAGGTAGCGTTGGAATCATGTTACTGAGCTCTTTGCATTGGTATTGTTTTTAAAGCAATTTGAAAGCATTTTTATCCAAGTGCCTAGCTTAGCTGTAGATCAGTGCTGACAGTTGGAATGTGCACCCCCTGGCCACAAAGGGGTTTAATCAAGTCTGATGCCAAGATTGTCCTTGACTGGTCATTATCTGTCATAGTCAGGCTTGTTTCTTTAGATTGTCGAGTCTTGGAGTATGTACATTGTTCCTCATGTGGATTGTTATAATTTGTCTTGATTCAATTATACTTATGATTTCTCATGACATTATTAAATGATTTTTGTTTCATGTTTCAGAGGGCCTTCAAAAGCTTAAAGAAAAGGCAAAAAAGAGGAAAGGCAGAGGATTTGGTGGAGGTAAAAAGACATTGTGTCATTTCGGTGAAATCAGGTGCTCGCTAAAATAATGAAGTCAAAGAAATTGACATTTACTGCCTGTTGGTCAGTTTTCATTTAACTTTTTTCAGGGGGGGGGGGGGGGGGGGGGGGCTCAGCATCCTTTTTGATAACTTAAAAACACGTGGATTTATTGAAGAAGGTTGATCAAAAGCACAGAAAATGTAACTTTGGGGTTTCAAAGACACTGAAAGTCACCAGTCTTTGGCAACCATTTTCTCACTAATTATATCTCTGACACCAAGCGGCCCCCACCTCCTTTAATCGCAAATATCTGGACTTCTTTTTGAGATAGATGGGTATTTTTTTCCCTCACAAGCAAGGCAAAGAAACAGGCTTCAAGGTGATACCAATAACTCCATGTGCTTACAAGTTGACGAGCACTTGATTCCTCCGTGTTGTGACACAAATACAGTCAAACTTGCTTTAACAGCCACCTGTGTAAGACAACCACCTGTACAAATGCCACTTCCCATTTCCTCCCTTGCATATTTTTTATATTAGGATGACACTGTGTAAGACACCGCCTGTTTGATACGGCCATTTTTCTTCTGGACAGTGGGTGGCTGTCTGAGACAGTTTTGACTGTATGAGCCATTCCATTTGATGTGATGACTGTTTTTACCTTACTTTTGACTGCTAATCATGCAAAGCTTCCAACTAGTTGATCTATGACATTGTTTTGTTGTATAAGCTGTTCCATGTTACATGATAGCTGTTTTTAAGCTACTTTTGTTTACTTATCATTATGCAATGTTTCCTACCTTTTGATTGAGATCATAACTTAACTCGATGACAATAACTACACTAGTGCAGTAAGTGTTTCGGCTGTGACAGTTCAACAATTAATCAAAATCATGTGTATTCTTCATATTTTTTTTACAGTTATGCTTTAGTATCATGTAGTCTGTTAGAGACAGTATGTGAACACATGCTGTGGCATTAGATGTTCAAGAATCTCCATTTGGTATTGCACGTTTCTTTCTTTCAATTGTAATTGTTAAATAAATGTTTGTTTCACATTCACACTGTCTTTTGTCTGTTTCAGAGGGCCCCACGCGCAGCGGAGTCGATCAGTATGAAGGAATGGAAGTTGAATATGATGAGTCTGAGGGACCCGGACCTCAGAGATGTAAAGAGATTTATTTTTATTTCTTACTGTTTTAAACAGTGCAGAGTGCCTCCTTGTTAGTACAGAGCCGGTCAAACTTATTAAGATTTGGTGCTAGGCAAGATACCTAGGGGGTTGATTTGTATCAAAAACAATTACTTGGATTGGTTTCTGATTTTCCTTTATTGTCTTCCAAGTTCATCTTTTTCTGTACTCTTATTTTTGCTGTAAACTGACAAAACGCCTTTAAAAAAAACCCACAGCAGTTTCCAGATAGAGTCAGATAACCTTTTTAAGAAGGCATTATTCCAAAATTTGAATTCTAAATTATTCGAACACTTATCACAGTTTCACTTTGATTTTTCACATTAGTAGGGTAACGGATCAGGCTTTTTATCTTGCAAATAAAAAATTGTTACGCCAAAAATGTAATAAGGCGTTTTGTCAGCTTACAACAGATTTGCGGCTTCAGAAAATAGGTAAAACTAAGCAAGGTTCATGCGAGTCGTCACTAGCTAAACAGTGCTTTGTGACATCTTGAGTGGAGTGAAAACCATCAACTCATGGTAGTTTAGTTAAAGAGCATTTTGTTTATGAACAAAAGGACCCCACATCACTTTTCATAAATTAGAAATTTAATGAAATGGAAAACAGAATCTTGATTCTTTGATGACAGCTTAACTTTGTAAAGCAGATCTTGGAAAATTCATGATCAGTTTGCATTAATAGAAAATTGTAATTGCCGTTAGCAGATGAAACTGCTTGTAGAAATGAGACTCTTTTATGATTTTGGAAAGGTAGTAAAACAAAGAAGGGGGGGGGGGAAGAGACGTATAAGGGTACTGAGTTTAAGTCCCCAGAGAACTTTGTTTGACTTGATGTGAGCATTGTACTATTCAAAGTCAAGACTGGGGTGTGAAAAGCCCACTTATGGTACCCTTGGAAATGTTTCATCACACTCAGTATCTTAACCCAAGAAGTGCGCAGCACTTCACCGTAAGTAACCTGCCCCAAACGCCCTGCTGCCATGGCTGATCGGTTGTATACATGGGGGTTTGATGGAGGGGATATTAGCTGAGATATCAGAGATTTATTCCGTCCTGCTACTGAAAAATGACCATTTATGACTCAACAGATGATAAGAGACATATAAAACGATATCTTTTCTCAAAGCTGATAGAATGAGCCATTAAAAAATGATAAGCAATCAAACAATTGCATACAAAGTGCAAAACACGATGAAGTCAACAATTAGTTCATTAGCACAGCAGAACAGTTGATAACACATAGCATGTAGTCGTTCAGCTGGACCGCATCACTTTGTAGATCATGTCTAGGCCAAGGGACGTGCTACGAATTCAAAGTAACTTGCAAACTCATTGGTCACTATTTATGACTTTGACCTGCAATTTAATGCATCATTTACCACATAGGGAACATTGAAATTTTCCATTAAAGATGGTCAGGGTCTATGCCCTTTCTATAGGGCTCGCATGCTTCCCAGTCGAAGTAGGTCGGCCCTATATATAGAGCCATCGAGCTTCCCGGGTAGCCCGGCTCACATCTAATATATAGGGCCATCGCACTTCCAGGGTTAGGAGTACTTGCAAACCTTATTTTTAGTTTGAGGGAAGCTTCTCATCAAAGTGTTAGTGCATATAGAGGTCTTGTTTCTTTCTTTTCTGTAGCTGTGGAAGGATGGATTCTTTTTGTCACTGGTGTCCATGAAGAGTCTCAGGAGGATGACATCTACGAGAAGTTTGGGGAGTATGGAGAGATCAAGAACATGCACTTGAACCTGGACAGACGAACAGGTTTTCTCAAGGTATGATCACTTATACTTATCTCCGCCTAGCTTGCAGCAAGTCGGGATATAAAAATAGGTCTGAACTCGACACACTAAAGTTAGACACGCATTGCGCTCCAACTATTTAAGCTATTAATAAGAAATTTTGCTTAGATTTTACAAAAGATTTTACGAGCTCCTTTTGATTTTTTTTTTATGTGGGAGTTTTGCTTAGTACTAACTAATGGGACTTGCTGGACTTTGCTGATGAAGTTTTTGTATGGATAGGATGTGTCTTATAATTTGTATATTTGGGTTGAGTAAAACATTCCTTGATGAAAGTCTTCCTCATCTTCCAGAAATCAACAAAGAAGGCTATTCTGGTCCAAGATGAAATGTGTCTCACATATGAATTTTGTTTTTTAAACGACCCGTAAGTAAATCAAGCTAATCTAGCCTTGAAGACGAGCAGGAAAACTATATGAAAAACTACAAAATTCATCCTGCCCGTACATGGTGGTAGTAGTAGAATTATCAAGTTATGAATGTCTTGTGTTGAGCGCTGAAGTTTTCTTTTCGCAGTGTAACAAGCTTTGCCTGTGGTGTTCAGTTTTTTTTACCTGGTCAACTTTCATCTATGAAAGTAGTTTTCTTTAGAGTGATTGTCAACACATATGTGTCAATATTTTTGGTCTTTAACATTGAAGTTTACCTGACATATTTAACATTGAAATTTACCTCACTCATTTACTTGATGGTATGTGACTTCTCTTTTTTGCCACTAGGGATACGCTTTGGTGGAATACGAAACGTTCAAAGAGGCCCAGAATGCAATGGACGCCCTGAATGGTACTGAGATTTTAGGTCAGAAAATAAGTGTGGACTGGGCGTTTGTCAGAGGACCAAGAAAAGACAGGTACGAAAGCATAAAGGAGGAATATTGTCCTGCATGTTGAAGCCAATGTCTATGAGTTGACTGCCCTTTAACCCTAGTCACCCTGTGTGGCCGTTGCCAGTGCACTTATTTATCTCGGCCTAGCTTGCAGCAAGTCGGGATATAAAAATAGGTCTGAACTAGACACACTAAAGTTAGTGCTCTCCAACTATTTAAGCTATTAATAAGAAATTTTGCTTAGATTTTACAAAATATGATTTGGTAACTTTATTAGAGAGAAGGAGGATGAAAAGAGCAGAGAAATCAATGTAGTTCTTCTCAGACTGCAGCTCATTGGCACTAGATTCACCCATAGCAACTCCAATAAACCTACGATCTAGATAGCTTTTACGAAGATTTCAAGGCACGAATATCAATCCTTCTTTTTCTAGATTTATATCTACTTTCACACTCTTTCTGCTTGTGCCCAAAGTAAAACTAAAAAAACAGGGTTCATGTATTTTAACAATCACAATTATGGCTGTTATACGGCTGTTTTTATTGTGGCTGTTTCCTGTTTTGCTTATCACCTAACTTATTTGTTTGCAGTTTGTCTCAATATTTAATAGCTTTAGTTGTTTGGGGTTGTTTTTTATTGGTTTTTTTGCAAAGCAATAGATGTAGGTAGCGTAAACACGGCCTCGCGGGCACTCGCGGCCTTCCGACCGCGCGGTATCGGTGAAATCGGGGTAATTCCGATCGCTGTTTCTTTGCTCTTTCATTATAAAACACCAAGTGCTGTACACCTTCTAAAAGTTCAGCTTTTCCTCGTTACAATGGTGTAAGTTGTTTTTATGTCCGATTAGTAGGAGCTGGAGAATCGCCGACGAAAGCGAAGCCCCTCGTGGTCGGCCGGTTGGAAAATTGACACGGGTGCATTCAAATGCTTCGCGGAACGAGGAATGATTAAATACCGTCTTTTCATTGGGGGAGAACTGTAGAGCTTTAAACGGGCTTTCCCGTGGTATGTGTTTTGCCTTTGGCGTCTAAATAGAAAGCTTTTAAAAATACTGTCAAAATGTTCAAAGATCACTTTTTACCCATAATATGTAAAATACCGGCTTAAAAAATACATCTAATAAAAGATCAGCTTGTTTTCTATTAGAATAAAGTAATCAGCTTGGAATTATTTTTCATCAATCCTTCTGCGAGACTCAGAAAGCATGTGACCCCGCATGCGGGGTACACTACAGTATAGAGCCGACTCGCTCGCCGCAGGGCCCGGTGCGGCGCCGGCAGGGTCAACGCTCGGTGTTTTTGTCGAAATAACGACAGATCATCGTGTTTGAGGCGATAAAGTACTGATTTGTAATGATCTCACAGTCTTGAAAAAAATTAGGCTCCATATATTTGTTATAGTAATTGTACTCTGTTAATGTGGAGATGTTTAGTGCTCTTGGTACTCTTTTATTGTCTGTCAGACATGGGGTTGCAGCCAGTGACTGACTTTAACAAATTTGATCAAATTTTAAACAACTACCATTTTCTTAAAAATTGACTGAGAGGTTATATAGAATGGTACCAAGATGCTTAGTGGATATAGGCCTTTCAAATGGAACTGATAAATTTGGCATTCAACTACTTTGAAAATTTAGTTTCTGGTATCTGATAGATGGGATTTATTTTACATGTCGTAGAGGATATTTTAGCTCTCTTTGAAAACCCGGAAATGTGGATAAGAGCATGGTTTTTGTATAGTAATATTCACTACATCAATTTATGTAGACCTGCCGTGGCAAACGCAGGGGCCCAACGTATATGTACGAAGGCTGGGTGAAATGAGTTAAAGCAATTACATGAATTTGTTTTTGTTTTCTAATGCGTGTGTATTATGTGGAATGCAGTCACAGTTTTTATAGAAAAAGCAAAGACACTGTCTTGTCTGAATGAAAGTCTTTAAAATGTGGAAGACAGTAGTGTTTAATGGTCTGGCGCTTTTGTAATGTGATGGCTAACATTGTCAGCTGCTGATTTTTATGACAGTAGCATTACCAAATTCCTTTGAAACTCACTTTCACCGAATTGAAGAGTGGCTTTCCAAAGCTCTGTAAGTCAGTTTTGACGAGCGCCTGATTTCACCACAAATCAGACGCTCGTCAAAATTGACTATGTATGTGTTAAGCGTCGTGATGAAATCAGGCGCAAGTCAAAACTGACTTATGGAGTTTTGGAAAACCTATTTCCAACGGACGAAAACTTGGGACTTTCTAAAAGGAACCCTTTTTTTTTTCTCTTAATTAAAATCAATATACTCAGGGCTCTTTTTTTTTTCCTATCAAAGAACCTCAATTGGATTTGCACAAAATCCCATTTTTTAAAATCCACTGGGGTTCTTGAAACTCAATTTCTTTTTTCCCCAAACTTCTATTTTAGGGACATTTCTGAAGATAACTCCTAATTTTGGTCATGGAAAGGAGTACAGGTCTGAAACATGTAAATCGGCAAACTCACATGGGTGAAAGTTTTCTGGCATATGCCAGAATTCCGGCTTTTGAAATTAAGCTTCCCAACTTTTCCGGTTTGGGACAAATTCTCAACTTGATAAAAATTTCAGAAGTAGTCATTCTCCCAATCCACAGTCAGTCTGTAGCTTTTTGCATTTGGTTACCATACTACTGGCGAAAATGAGCGTTGCACGCCCAGAAACAACCCAATTAGCTCTATGTCGGACTAAACACTACGACCTCAATGTTATTGATCTGGCAAGTCTGCTCTGTGATTTGCCCAGGTTTATCCATTCTTTGCAAATTGTGGCTGGTTTTTATATCTTTGGCTCATGTTTGTGCGTTGTTTGGGGCAAGCATAAGCACGTCAAGGTCCAACTTTAAAGATTGTGATTTAGTTTAAAAAAGAAAAAAGGAAATTCATTCTTTCATTAAATGTAGACAAGACGTACATAGAATAATAGATGAAGCGAACAGAATTTGAGGTCCCGAATTTTGTCTTGGAGGCCTGTACTATTCTGTGTATAAAAACACACACAAAGACTTGACAATTCGTACATAGCGAGGGAAAAAATCGGCGACATCGAGGGTAAATCTAATTAAATGTAGGCCTATAGATGGCTGCTAATTTCATTTTACCAATGTAGCCGTGGAGAGAGAGAGAGAGGCAGAGTAGGAGTGAAGGTCTATGACCTTTCAATAGGCACAAGCCGAGGGCAGTAGTGTAGCCTAGGTGTAGGCCAAGGATGTGTTTGTTTCATTCGACACAGGAGTGTTCAGCGGTAGACCTAGATCTAGCCTGCTCACTTTAGTTGCGGTGTAGTCCAGTTGTTCAGCTACCGACCTGAAATCTCAGAATTCTCCAATGATGGCCTGATAACTGTTCCAGATGCGGCACACAAATGATCAATATTATTCATAGTTCTGCTGTTACTTTCAAAACAAGCTTTGTCCAACTCCAAGTTATGTTTTGTTGGGCCTGTCATCAAGACCCATGAGTAAATCTTCCAATCGTGCCTGCGCATCACGTGACATGACCTCAACGTGTGAGTTTCGCGCGTGTCAGGGACCATCCGTTGACGGGGTCAACTTAAGTTCATGCATGCTGGTTGAAGAGTCTTTCAAGGCTTACAGGGAGGGGGGGGGGGGTGGTAGACATTTGGACCACTGCAACAGCCCAACCTACAGCCCCAAACAATGTGTCCACAAGTGCCATGCATCATTGCTGACATCTTATTTAGCAAGAAGCCACAGTTGTAGTTCAAAAAGTACAAATGTGGACTGTGACAGTGACACAGCGCTTTAAAAAAAATTGTGTGTCTCAGTGGGGATTGTGATAAGACACTTTGTAGTGTCAGTTAATACATCTGTGAAAAAATTAACATTGCTGTTTTGTGGACACAGAACCCAGTTGGATGGATAGTTTTCAAGGGATTGCATTGATGAAAATACATGTACTACATGTATCTTGAAGGAATATGTGTATTTTATAATATTGTGTGCGTTTATCTGACGATGTTTCTCAACGTGTGTTATTTTCAGGCGTAGGCATTTTTACTCATTGGCATTTCAGGTTTTTGAACCTGTCAGTACTTTCACCCTTGGAACTCTCTCTCTCTCTCTACTCTTTCTCTCTCTCTCTCTCTCTCTCTCTCTCTCTCTCTCTCTCTCCCCCTCCATCCCTCCCTCTCCCTCTCTCTCTACTCTTTCTCTCTCTCTCTCTCTCTCTCTCTCTCTCTCTCCCCCTCCATCCCTCCCTCTCTCTCTCTCTCTCTCATAATATATTGTCCACTACAGTATAAGTGAACTATCCAGAGACACATAGCCATCTAATCTTGTTGGACCTATCAGGGGTTTTCTCTTGTACCAACACGTGTGGACATTTGTCTTGGGGTGTTTTCTTTTTGCAATGTGTTTTTAATTTTTTTAAATTTGGTCTTTTTCCTCAGATCCAAAAGAGATGACAGAAGAAGGAGATAATCTGTTGTTGTTGTTTTGTTTTTTTGTGTGTGTGTATTTTATTGAATGTTTGGTTATGAACAAGAAGCAGATTCTTGAAAATTGCCCAACAGTAAGCTAGTAATGGATATTATGGGGTGTAAAATTAAATCATTGGTGAAAACTGAACTTTCATTTTGTTGTGTTTCCCCCCATTACCTCATTATACTGTTCTGCTTTAATGTTGTTTTATGGTCTTGAAGAGGGTGGGGGTGTCTCTCTAAATTGTGTTCATTTAATAGAAATGGGTTTGATGATAAGTTAACTTTTTCACTGCCAGTGTTGAGTAGACTCACTACCTCTCAACTGCCTTTGTTTCCCCTCACAAAGCTGCGGACTGAAATAATAATGGTTTCTGATGGGGAAACTGAAGAGTGAAGGGGTTAAAGCATAATGGAGACTCCAGGGGTTACTCCTGAAAGCTTGGCTGTTTTTGAATTGTTATATAGCGATCAGAGTTCATGGATATTTTAATGAGAGGGATAGGGGGATATTTTTTTAATAATTAGTTTCCAAAAGTGTTGTTAAGTGCGTCAGCAGCTTTCATCATTCATATTCATAAATATTATGTACTTTTTGATGAACTTTCATTGTTTATTAAACAGTAATAAACTTTCTATGCTTTTGTATTTTTTCTTCTTTAAAATCTATTTTTCTTCTTTAGTGTTCTTAAGATGTTCAAACATTCTCTTTGTGTAATTACTCTATACTGCTTGTCTCTGTTTAAAAGCCTATTCGAGTAGTGTATAAATATGTATATACTGTAAAGTTATTATACAGGCAGACTGAAAATGAAAACAGATCATGCACGGCTGACCCGAATTGATGGGGGAAGGGGCATAGTATTGAGAACTGAGTTGTTTCTCCTGACTGTATGTTTAGTAACTTAACGAGCATCCTGCATGGTCTGTTCTTTGAGGAAATAATGCCATACTTTTCTAATCAGACGTAAGTTCCAGGACCAAAATATAATAAAACAAGCAAAAGATTTACATTATCAAACAATTTTGTAAGTTTTATAGTAGCACAGCAATGGCCATATAGATATACTTTTTTACATGGTGCACTCTACCCCAGGCTCAGTTTGTGTCAGGTTGTAATGAAATTATCTGTTGATTGGGTTTTCCTTTAAAGATGTGACATATTGTAGCAATGCCCACCGAGCGCATTTTGTTCTGCCGATTTTTGGCCCCCGCCGCGGGGGTGTTTCGTGGGACTCACTAACGCAAAGGTTGTTGTCTTCAACTCGCTCTCACGCCGCTTCTCGTGAATGGATATGAATGAAACTTGTTAGCCAATCAGAAAAGAGGTCAATCTCGTAGTGTGCAGTTTGACAACATTGTACCCATCCTAGAAGCAGTCGAAAACGTTTGCGAAAGTGGTTGATGTGGTGCGCTTTGAAGGTTTTTCGGAGCTGTGATTTGTCAAACTGACTGATACGTTGTACACCATTTTTCTTTATTCCCTTAAAATTTCTGTGTGTAGCGGTTTTGGCGTAATCTTTAAAAATGTGGGAGTAACTAAGGGAAAAAGCGACATTGCCATTTGCGCATGCCAGGTGAATGGCCGGCGGCCTGGAAATTTCCACTGAGTGACGTCATCAGCCGTCTGTCGCCTCGGGCGCTACAAACGAGGCCCCGCTTATGTGAAATAAAAAGGGGGGGAAGGATACTTGAAAACTTAACGGGAGCCTTGATAACTTGCGTTTTTGTTGCATTTTAGTCACAATAGGCCTACAATAGATGTAGTCATTTTTATTTGCTTGATTGCACGACAGAAGAATAGAAACAGAAAAGCAAACATCTTGAGAAGTGGTATGGCATTGTGTTTGCGTTATGAAAGCCTATTCCCCCCTCTTGGGAAAAGCACACACTTGGACTCGTCCTATGTGCACTGTTTGGAAAAGTGAGGCATTAAGATTGTTATTAAAGAGTACGGTACTTATTCAGTCCAGTCTGGGAAGATAGTCCCGTTTATACATTGTTATCGTTCACGCGTGCGTGCATGTGTGTGTGTGTGCGTGAGAGAGAGAGAGAGAAGGGGGGGGGGGGGGTGTAAATAATATATTACATTTATAGTATGAGTTGTAGCCTACACGTGCGAAATATTCCCATGACTTGTAAACTATATTATCTAAACGTATCTTAATCTACCACACAATAGGACACTGACCAACAATGGATATACACAGAGACGATCTTATTTACTATAACAAAGTATGCATGCTTTTACTAGTAGAGCCAATTCTCTACTTACATTATTGTGACAAATTGATCCAGATCATTGCTTGGCAAGGAGGAACCTTTTATGTTGCCAAGTTTCATTCAAATATCATGACTTTGGGAGAAGATATGACTGATAATCTTTGTAAATCTGTAAAAAAAACGCCACTTTTTTACCTGTTAATGTCTTTACAACTCATAAAGTATGACAGATATTTAAAATCTGACAGCATGACTAGATTCTGCATCAAAAACTGTACTAGACTGCCAAGTTTCATTTACATACTCCAAGAAATAGGCGAGCTATGACAAATATTGTCTCAAAACGCACCGAAAACCGCCACATTTTTACCTATAAAAAACATCTTCATAACTCAAAAAGTAGGATAGCTATGAAAAATCTGAAAGCAGAACTAGATTCTGCACTAGAAAATGTACTGGGTTGCCAAGTTTCATTTAAATACTCCGAGAAATGAGCGAGTTATGACGAATATTGTCTCAAACCTCACCAAAGAACGTCCCATATTTTGGGGTTTTTTCATTATATAAAAGTGTAAAAAAAATTAATTGATTAAAAAATTCGTAACTTTTTTGTTTATTGATGGATTTCAGAAATTCAAAAAGTTCCATTCTCTGTGGAGATAGAGCTATAAAATGCACCTATTTGCAAACACTTTCTGACAAAAAAAAAGGTTTTTCGTGGTCATTGCTACATATTGCAGTTAACAATGGTTATCCAAAATAGTGGCAGCATTCGCAACAGCCAGTATTTAAATTTTATCCCTTTGCTAAAGATGGCTCAATTTCATGTAAAAACTGAAACCCTTTGTAGAAATCTGTCTACATGAACATGCAGAAAGTGCTCTGTCTCCTGAAGGATGTGCCTCAGTCCTGGGTCACTATCTCAAACTCACAGTCTAATGAACTCTGACTTTTTGAGCTGCAAAAAGAGCCTTCCCTGTGACAACGTACTGCTTATCATTTAACTTAACTTGAATAGTGAGCTTTAGGTACTCTGGGGTGGTGTACTCCTACTTATAATTTTATAACATCGCCGTCGTTCATCATCAGAGGGTGTAGTTTTTTCCTTCTTTCCTAGCAGATTTCTATCGTCTTCATCTCTCCTTTTTTTGAGTCTTTGTTAGGGTAGATCCATATTAACGCCCGACACTGACAGTCAGACCAGACCCGCCGTTTTCCGTCGGGTGCGGCCGACCATATTAATACTGGAGTTTGGCTGTAAGACACTGCCGTCTTGCAAATGTAGCGTGTGGTAGAAGAAAAAAATTGTTGTTGTTGCTTTTGAGACAAAGACAAAAAATGAAAACCAAGACAAGAAGATTTTCCCTGCATCCCATCCAAAGAAAGCGTGATACACTAGGTGAATTTCGTCATTTGTTTTCGCAATTGTTGGAAGATAGTGAAAAATTCCAACAATACTACTATCGCATGAAACATAACAGTTTCAATGAACTGCTAGAGATATGCAGAGCTGACCAAGAACTGCTAGAATTCTGTGTAGTGTCATTGAGGCGGGAAAGGGGACACAACTATGAGAGAGATAACATCATTAAAATTACCTCCCATCTTGCCCGACGAACCGTCTTTGAATTTGATAGAATATGTTTTATCGGAGGCGGTCTGACCGGGGACGACGCAGGATGTCGGGCGTCAGTATGGTAGGTAGCCGAAACCGTTTTTGTTACCTTCCATTACTAAAGAGCCGGTGCACATTCTTTTGTGCCCGGAGACGGTCTGGACTGACCGTCTGTGTCAGGCGTTAATATGGTTGCGGCCTTACTCTCTTGTGTGTAACACCTGTAATCTTCAGCACTTAGATTTTCTATGACCTAGATCTAATTCTAATTGTGTTGCAAGTGCTGTAAAACTCTTACTAAAACTAAAACATTCATCAATGTCAGTCATAATATGTCAAAAGGTTTTCAGGAGCAGCAAAAGCTGTTTTGTTTTCGGCAGGATATTATTTTAGTACAAAATGGTTGACTAAATTGGATAGATAGCTACTATTTTAAGAAGAGGAATGAGACTAGGGCCAATCGATGCACTTCAGAAAACTCAACAATTTGCTAAAATTTAATTTTTTTTAGACTCTTTGAAATTTTGACATTCTAAACGTTAAATGACTGCGACAACATGTAATAATAATGATGATTTCTTTTATGTAGCGTATGTCCACGACTCAGAAAAATTCTCAGCTTCCCAGGTTAGGCACTTCACTGTCGCACACAAAAGACTTGCGGATTACAAGTGCTCAAACATTAATAAACAAACAAGATCTTTCACAGTCTATAGCCTGGTACCCATTCCAACCTGGGTGAAGTGAGGAAAATTTGTCCAAAGTGCCTGTCCCAAAGGACACAACATAAGTAGTCCCTGAAGAGACTCGAACCTACGACCTTACACTTGAGAGTCCGAGACCCTAACCATTAGACCACCAACATTTCTGTTTCTCATTTTGATCCAGTTCCTGGCTAAAGGTGTCCATAATAATGCTTACTTTGTTGTGAACCTCATGCAAAGCCTTGGAGCTTAATATTGTAAGTATAGTGAGCAACATAGTATACCTCTATTCCAAGGTTATAGGGCCTTATCACAATAGCATTTCAATTTCAGTCTTGTCTTTTAAGGGACAAGCACAGAAGTCAGCTTTCTCAGTTCCCAGGGGATAATTCCACAGGCATGCCCAGGATAAAGTATAGGCATTGTAAGTTTGGTCAAGGGTCATTTGTGTCAACATCTAAAATATTTGTATGAGCATACTTGGAAAAGAAGTGCAATTTTTACCCAAGACTAGCAAAAAGAGACAGATGCATGAAGTGAAACTAGATCTTGACCTCCAGTATGGTAGGAAATGTACTTCATTTTCATCATTATTTTGTATACATGACATGTATTTATCAATAATGTATGTATGTTGTTATATATAGAAATTTTATAATCAGGACGCAAGAATGAAACATGGCAAAGTTTTACTAGACAATCTTTTATTCTCTTTCCATTTCTCTAGGAAATTGGTAAGCAGTATATTAAGTGTCTAATGTGGAAAAGAAGATGAACGTAATAATCATATTACCAGTAAGAGAAACAGAAAGAGAACAAAGTTAACAACAAAAAATAGATGCTATCATTCAACGAGACAGCACTTGATCAGGCTTTTTCAAATACGGAACGATAGATCCTTAAAAATTAAATCTTCAGAAATAAACATAGCAAAATGATGAGAAAATGTGCGAATGTACATCAGAGTCTAAATTTTCTGCATTTTCTTCAGCTCTTCTCAAACATACATGATACATGTGAAAGAATCTTATACTTATAACGCATACTATAATGAATTCATATCAAAATGTAAAAACGAAATATAGAAATTAAGCCGTTACCAACCAAGACTGATGTCAAAATTGGATACACATGTAGCCTACAAATATTTCAATAAAATGTGTAAGTGTTTCTCTGTTTTGTGCATGCAAAGTGACTTACTCACCAATCAGCAAAATAAGAAACAAAACAAACACCTATTTTCAGTTGCAGCCATTATTACATCATTGGATATTGGTCCAGTTCGACTGGTTTAGCTTCATCCCAGTATTCTCCTATGGGTTTGCTGAAAGCATCATTCTTCCGGAATGCTGTGTCTTTTGTTTTCACTTGAGTGGTGCCCTGAACAGAGAAAATTGTAGAATTCAGTAAGTGCGAACGAACAAAAATAATGTTCAAGATTTTTACAGACGCTAAAGAATGCCATTATCATGTTTTAATATTTTTATATAGCTCTTATCTAAAAAAAAAAAAAAAGTGCCCATGTGTTTGGAGTCTTTGGGGGGGGGGGGGGGGGTTCTGGGTAATTGATGAAGACCCCACTTTAGGATGCCTCTTTTGTTTCTGGTTTCTGCCTGTTCATCTTGCTTTTTCCAGCACAAAATGACTTCATTGGAGTTTTGAGCGTATGTTTAGTTTAGGCTCTTTGCGTGCTTGCAAAGAAGAGAATTGCATTCCCAGGAGGGAAAAGATATTTTATTGAGTATCCCCGCCCCATATTATTTCTGCTGGAATATGGTATCATTATCATACACAAAAAATCCCTGTTAGGTTGGTTCACAAAGCTGTTCATCTTCTAAATTGTGTTGATGGTGGTATAACATTTACAGTAGGCAATCAATGATTGTTACTGTGTTGATCTGCTTCCGTTTTCATGGACCCATGAACTTTCGTGTCAACTGTATCTATTTCTGTATCCATCTTACTTGGACTGTTTATCACAATGTTTCATTCAGCAAGTACTAAGTTTACTACTGTACAGTCTAAGTCTATGTGTAAAAAGCAAAGATGATGTACTCACATGAATTTTGTCCCTGTGTTCTGACCAGAAAGTCACAGGCTGTTCACTCACGTAGTCATGATCCTGAGGATAAAAAGTGGAGAACAACTCGTTATTCATTCATGCATTCTACATAGAATCATGTGTCACTAACCACTTGCCATGAACAATATGATACCTCTGAGGTGGATTCATTCAAAATTCAAAGGCACCCTACTATATTATATAAAAGGAACAAACGGCCTGGGTAGAGACATTAAGTGGGCAAGATGTGCCTTGATCCCAGGTGAACATGTGCTCAGACAACAAAGTGGATGGCTTCATCATTTTTTATATATATATATACATTGAGATATAGCGGTTAGGCACTTCACTGTCGCACACAAGAGACTTGAATTCAATTCCTGAGTGGGGAGAATGTCTATCAAGTATCTGCTGGGATGTTGTTTCCCACTTAGAGCCCAGGTTGGCCCTAACAAGAAGGGTTGGAAGCCCGCCTCCTAAATGATCTAAATTGTGTCAATGGGTGTGTAAAAACACCTACTTATTTTTAAACCTCCAAAAATATATTTAGAACAGTTTGACCAGCAAATCTTATGTGCTATCAAAACCAGAGAAATTTTACACATACTTTAGTACTCATACTCATAACTTGAGAAAAAAATGGATAGCAATAAGATGAGTAAATAAGTGGAATAAACTGATGAAAATATATTCTACAACTGCCTTCTCTTTTTTCATAAAGTATAAAGGGCATGCAGGCTACCCCTTGTCACAGAACTGCATAAAAAGCAAGTCATCCAGACTGCAAGGTCATAACCACTTGCTGACACTGACACCCGTTAGGATCCTGAAACAGCTAAACAACAGTAAAGTAGCCAACTCCATTATTGATAAGTGTGCCATTGCTGTCGTAGCTTGCCGTTTTTTACAGAATTGCAGTGCATGTAGAAGTAGAAGCAAAATGTCAAATTGTATCAAATTACCAATGTCTGCTCTGGCTCTGTTTTGGGGAACTCTTTGGTGTAATCTTTCATAAAAACGGTGCACATGATGCCTTTCATGTCCTCGGCAATTTTACGCTCTTTTTCTTTCTCCATGTCCTCACTGAAATAGCAAAAGAGTATGCACTGAAGTATGTATTTTTAACAAGTCCAAAGAAAATGTATTGTTGCTTTTAAGCACAAGGGGGCTATATAAGAAAAGGAGAGTTTTCTCTATAACCAAACAAATATACACACCAATGAAACCAAACTTCTCCTATAGGTAGGGCAATGCCCACTTTTGGTGTAGGTCAAGATTTCTGGAAACGCTCGAAATCTGGGTTAGCCCGCTTGTCCATATCAGGACTTCTTCAAACACAAACTCAACTATTTCAAGTAAATTCAAGCACAAATCCTCAATCACTGCAAACAAACAACTAAAAAATATTTAAAAAATAATCTTGATTCCTAAGATATTCTCTGTATAACTCAGATTCAATCAGCAGTAACAAATGAAATCTGTGCATAGTATGAACATTTTGATCTCTTGCCTATTGGTTTTACTATGCCATTTACATAACAATAGCTTACTCACATTCGTCTGACCATGATTTAAACAAGATAAAATCAAATTGCTCTGTTTAATCTTTTCAGGTCTTTGCATACTAATAAGCCTACTAGTCTTAAAGTTGGATGGCCAACAGAATCTAAAAAAAAGCCCATTTTCGTCAGCACCACGACATTTTAACGCACACCTGAGAAACATGGTATTTTAGAAGACTCGCATGGATACGCGGAGGCAGTCATGGACTAACACTGAAGTGAAATGTGGGGGCACTGTCGTGTTGTTGTCTCAAAATGTACGATAGTTAAATTTTTTTTTTTAAGTGATCCGTGTATGCACCCAAAAAAAAGCGGTTTTTAAAGCCAGAACTTTTTAAAGCAGACAAACGAGAGTGAGCAAGCTATAGCAACAGCATTTATGCAGACATGAATTAAGAATAAGCAGTATTATCTCTCTCTGTCAAGGATGTTTCAGTAGGCTAAGCCTTTGTTTTTGATAATTTAAGGTACAGTAATGTATGCAAGTTGTGTCTAACTCACTAAATAATTTGATTTTTTACCCTCCAGATATATTATATCCCTTCTAATACTAATATCAGATATGGTACAGTTTCATGAAATATACTCAAAACATGTTTATGATTTAAATTTGTAATGCAAAGCAAATTTTCACTCATTTTTCCAACTCTGAATCTTCGTTCATTTCACAGGCCGTTTTACTGATCTTTTGCAGAAATTTGAAAACAAATGTACTGAAGCAGTAACATTAGTAGTAACATTGAATCATTGAATCCGACTTCGGCAGTTTTTTTAGTTTAAGTTAAAAAAAATTAATTAAACTGTAAAATATTATACTCAGTGATGAGAGAAGAAGTTCCTTCAACTTTAACCCAATTGAGTCTTTCTTACCCCCCCCCCCCCCCCCCAATTCTGAATTTCCCCCATGTTAGGGAACAAGTGATTCTTCCCAGTTGGTTTTTATACTCAACTCTTTCGAAACACCCTGAAAAGCACACTGTAATGGAAGGATTGCTCGCAAAAAAAGAACAAAAACTTTCATTTATTTCAAATACTGAGGTTAATCCGGAAACAGCCCTAAACCGAAAAGAAAATAAAGTCCCCAATTTGTTTCTTCTATTTCAGCAACCTTTCAACCAAAAATTCAGCAAAACTGAAGAAAATCCATTGGTCCCATAAATTTCAGTTTAAGCAGACTCCACTGTAATTGATAATATAAAAATCATCAATGTTGCAAAAGAAATGTTAATTAAAATTGGGATTCAACCCCTCATTGGAAGATCATCAAAAAACGGGATTGAAAGGGTTAACACAATGTTATGCCTACATACGGTCGAACCTGTGTAAGACGGCCACCCATTGTCAAGGAGAAAAGTGGCCGTATAAGACAGGTGGCCGTCTTAGGCAGGACTGATCAAGATGAAGAAAACAAACCATTCCTTTCTGAGAAAACAAACCCTTCCTTTCTGAGGTCCCAACCAAAGGTAGTTGCATTGTTGTTGTTGTTGTTGTTTTCGCTGGGTTTTTTTCCTTTTGTTTGCGCTTTTGTGCACGGGTGACAATAAAACTAAATGTGTCAGACAAGGAGGACCAAGCGCTATGGTAAAACAAACAGATAGGTCGCCACGACACGGAGAAGAGCTATGCTTCTGTCACAAGTTCATTCTGACGTCCATTGTTACTTTGTTACAGACTGGGTAAACAGTGACCACTCATCTCACTTACAATTTGTTTACGGATCCTGGGCGGGGCTTATGGGTTATGAGGGATCACACGCTTCCTTCCCCAGCAGCTGAAAATTAATTTGGTTACCTATTGGTCAACAGTGGGAGGGGCCTACGCAACATGATCAGTTGGAGGGACTACCTAACAACGACAGGTTTTTAGATTATGACGGCTCGCCCACAAAGCCAGGGGCCAATGCTTGATTTATGACAAAGCGTAATGGAGTCACTAAGGTAGCCGTCTAAGACAGGTGTTATTGCTTTGTGTGGTAGGGGTTGTGTGTTGAAATATGGTGGCCGCGGCCGCGTTGGACAGGTGCCCGTTTTACACAGTTAAATTATATAGAAAAAACACAAGGGGGGAAATGGAAAGTGGCCATTTGTACAGGTGGCCATCAGGGCAGGTTCGACTGTACTTTGAACTGTATAATATGACCTTACAGTAGGCAAGAATTGCAAATGACTTTTTATTTTTTACAAGCGACAAGTTACAAAGCATTGTTTCAGTACAAAGTTTCAAACGTTCTCACCAGACAGCTTGAGCAAAGGCTTGTTCCATCAACTCTTTTCTTTTGCCTGCAAAATATGAACTCAAGTTAAAACTGAAAATGAGAGAAGAACAAAAATAATAGAGGTATACTATTACACCCAAGGGCAACAATAACAGAAAAATGTCTCTTAATACTGATATCAATTCCATGTAAAGTAGTGAACTTTCTAATGAAGGGTTGCCTAGTTTCATCATTTTCCAGAATTTTGTGTAACGTTAATAAAACTAGCTTTCTCTTTTTAAAAGTTAATCCAACAAATATTTACAGTTACAGGAACATACTGAAAAGAATGAATGTGCGCTGTCTTCTAGAATTCTAGAGAAAACCTGTTACAAATTAAATCTGACACTAACAGTAGGCAATCTCTTTCTCTCTCTCTCTCTCTCTCTCTCTCTCTCTCTCTCTCTCTCTCTCTCTCTCTCTGTGTCTTTGATCAATACGTATGTAACTTCTTTTTCATTTTATGTTTTTACGAATTTGCTTCACTCACCCACATGCCTGGTCTGATCAACCTGAGGTGGTGTGTATGTTGCCCGAACTGTAGTGAGTTTCTCTGCTTTAGCACTATCCTCAATGGTGATCAGTCCATTATGCCCACTTCGTAAAAATCCAGCTCTCTCTAGCATGTTATATTCTCTGTCTAAAGGAGGATCTCTGTCAACATTTGCTCGCTGTTCGAAGAAGGTAAGAATAAGAAAATTTATGTTATCTTCAGGACAATTATGAGAGAAAAGTGTTTAGGCCTACAAAAAAAAAAAAGAAACAAAATGGATCATGGAGCTATTCTAACATCATCTATTATCTATTTGTGGTGGTCGAATTTTGCTATTCAAAAGGCTTTTTAATGGCTGCATCGATCGACATGCGGTTTTCGCCAAACGATTCTTTAAAATATTCTCCTGATCATGACGCCCTTCGTTTTTTCAGTTTTGAGACAGTTTTGCTGCAAAAAGCTAAATTCCTTTATTTCGCTGATCGTTTTTGTAGGCCGACGCTTCTGTCTCTGTAATTTTAGTAAATCCACCAGGTTTGTTTATTTCAAGTCGTACTTCCGTTCGATACTACCGCGCGTTGTCGCTCAATACTGAGCACTATTTTTTAAGTTTGCTACCCGTATAGATCTAGTTATATATAAAAGTGTAAAGAAAAGCAAAAAGTGCAATGTCGTACTGGTATCAGGCAACAATTAATTAAAAGTACCTTATGAACTTCCATACATCAGTAAAATTTAAGGCATAGAACACATAAATATAACTTAAGCTACAGAATAGATTGTTGACAGAAATGTCCCAAGTTAAGTTGTTGCTAAAAAAAATGAGGAATACAAACTCTAACTCTAACTGACAATTAGATATATCTATTCTACACTACCTGCAAACTGACTAGCATTCCCCACCATCTGAATATTTTGTGGGAAAATGCTCAGTTTTTTAGTTGAACTATGTTTTTCTTAGCTCGGTAGGATGGATTACCTTTCGGAATTCTTTGAAAACTGTAACTTAACTTTTTTTTCGGGTTTTACAATCCTGAGAGAATGCAAGACAAGAACCAGTTGAATATAGATTCTAAATCTAGATCTAAGTATTTTTAGACAAAGTGAAAATCTGATGTTCTGAATCAGAAAAGGATTGATTTAAACTTAAACGAAATCAGTTGAGGCAGCTTAGGCTTACAATTCATTTGTTTTCAAAGCCTAGGGCCTATATGCTAGCCTACATAAAATCTACACCAACAGTGTAGGCCCACAAGTTACAGAAAATGGTAGTCTTTAATTAAAACTAAAAATTACTTTAAAAATGAAATGCTAAGTAAATGTTTACCTCTTCGACCCAGTTTTCCAGGAGACATCTGCCAGCTGAATTGTTCACTCGGATTTCATTTCGTCCATCATTAGCAAGGCTGATGCCTACACGTGCATTCATAGCATCCATTTAGGATTTGTTATGTATGGAACCTTGATGGTCCAGCGGACAATAGATCAACTTCAGAAAGATGCTGGTGGGAAGAGAACGATGTCTAACCGGAAGTGGCTGTTACTATAGTAAATAGAGCAACAGAGATTCACAGTGGTCTCCCCTTTCCCGTTATTTTTGGTCGTCAGGCCACGAATTTATAACTGCTAGAACTAGTAGGTAGCCTAACGATAACGTTGAGATAACGGAGAGGTTTTATAAGTGTTCCGAGTACCGGTACATTAGGTCTACATATTGTTTCGGTAACAACGACCCCCAAAAAGACACAATCTTAGGGATACACATCAGGAGAAAAAGAGAGGGAGGGGGGAGGGGGGTTGACACGTACACGAGAGAGAGGGAGAGAGAGAGAGGCTGACTCGTACACGAGAGGGGTGGAGAGGGAGAGAGAAAGGAGAAAGGCAGAAACAGAGAGGGAGGGGGGTGGGGGAGAGAGAGAGGGGTTTTTTCTGCAGTGGTTGGAGCGTTGAGCTCTAGTCTAGCCCATGTTCCGGCAACGGCTCAAGACAAGAGAAAACTTTTCATTAAATGATCCTAGGTGCGTTTTGTTTCAAGGCAGATACCTAGGCTATGTTTTGAAGGGGGGGGGTTGAAACAAGTAGATTATTAGGCGGGATGTCTGCTTACTGCTTACAGACTTCTTCACGAGCCTTCAGCATACAAAAAAGCATTGAGAAACAGAGAGGTTAAGTGGTTAGAGTGGAGTCAAATATTGTTATGACACTAATAACTTCATGTTGGCAAATCTGTTTTTATTTTCACAAGGTGTATTTTCACATCAAGTCCCATTACTTTAGCGATATATCTCGACAATTCTATTCTATTAAAGAAAGGTACCTAAAGGTTATGAGTAGGCCTATACGCACATACCCGTACACGCATACACAAACACACACACACACACACACACACACACACACACACACACACACACACACAAACACACACACACACACACACACACACACACAATCACATCCAAACTTCAGAGTTACTTATGTAGCCTAATTATTAATTAGTTCTTAATTGTCTCTATCAATGTATCTTGCCGGTAACGTGGTTGAAGCGTTATACTCTCGGCTTTCTTAGATCTAAGAAAGCCCAGGTTCCAGTGTATCGATGTGCTGACTCGTCGAAACGACACAAACTACATGTACTAGATAGTTTTCAAATGGAAAAACAACTCAATACTCAATAACGTTTATGAACTCCCTACACAAGGTGGTTGAGGTTGGATTGGAGGTTGCGGCTAGACAAGCCAACTAACTTCTTTACTCTCCTTCTGCAGATGCGGACGCCTGTTTTGAAGCTGTGTGTGTGTGTGTGTGTGTGTGTGTGTGTGTGTGTGTGTGTGTGTGTGTGAGAGAGAGAGAGAGAGAGAGAGTGTGTGTGTGTGTGTGTGTGTGTGTGTGTGTGTGTGTGTGTTTGTTTGTTTGTTTGTTTTGATTATTTTGTTCTGTTTTGTTTTTCACTTGCCCACTGGCCTTGTGTCGATGTGCTTCTCTTTAGATTAAGAAAAAAAATTATTGCGGTACACCACATTAAATTTTTCTGTTGCCTAACAACTAAATTTGGAATAAAAAGGATGACCAAGCTACTCATGTTCGAAGGAATGTTTGATCATGACTTGTTCGAGTATTCTACTCTCAGAAACCGAAAACGACAGGCCTACGTCTTCCCCCGGTGTATCATTGAAAATATTTGTACATTGTACATGCACATGGTATAATGAGCAACTCATTTTTTGCAGCAGCATTTGAAATGTTGATGTAATAGCATGAAATACTTGCTTGTTCCGACCGGGAAAGTGTGTGTGTGTGTGTGTGTGTGGGAGAGAGAGAGAGAGAGAGAGAGGTGTGGGGGGGGGGGGGGGGGGAGGGATAAATACCATTCCGTTAGCAACACAAGACAGCAATACCAACTTCAACAGCAATATAGAATATTAAAGCGCAGTGAACTCATTAAGGTTGTGAACCTGTTGGTGATTCCCGCCTGGTGGAGAAATAAGTCATTCCTTATTTATTACCCTGCATTGTGAAAATAATTGAATATTTTTCCAACAACCATTCTGTACCAAAAAAGCTGACAGGTTCAGAAAAAGACATCAAAAGATGAAGGAACCAAAAAAAAGGTGAGAGCGTGTTAATAACGAGAAAAAGAAACACAATTCAAACCTTGTCCTCTTTCAGCAGATAAAAATCTATAAATATATATTTTATTATAAATTATTACGAAATTAGAATTCATGGTTCCTGAAAGCCCAAGTTAAGGGAAATCTTGGGAAGGGGGGTGGGGGAGGTGGCTGTAAAGACAGTTTAAATGCGGGCAACTATACAAAGCATGGCATTCGTAAATCTTGTTTTATGTCTTTCCCAGGCGTGTGAATGCATTAAGTATTTCCCACGTCTATACCCCAGTTGCTCTCCTTTGATCGACACCCTGTAATGTTAAGTGGCTGTCTAAAGAGACGGCGTCTACCTCTGTTTACTGCACACACCTGAAATCAAGGATTAAGCAGCAGTTCGAGCGGAGGACTTCCGCTGGGAAAGCGGTGGGTCTGTCTTAACGGACATCGGCAGGTGAAGAACAGGCGGGGACAACGGAAGGCTCGCCGGTGCATGACCAGTCGAAGAGGAGGCCCAGTAACAATGGACTACCTAGCCAACACACAACAGGCCCGTTACCACTGCAGGGAACACGCAACAAAAGAGGAAAACCTAGACTCGGAAAGGTAATGAGCTGGATTTGACAGGTATGGATTAACACCCCCTCTAGCATTGTAATGTTATTTAGCGAGCGGGCCCACCTTTTTATCATTCGTCCCCGACAAGACCGGACCAATTGATTGAAGGGCCG